AAAGAGAGATGTTTCAGCCAATGCTTTAATTCCTGAGGCCCATGAAATACTGAAAGTTATATAATCTGGTTAAATGGCTATTGATCAATTGATTTGTTTTTTACAGCTTATCAACTCTTTTTAGGTTATTTAAAGACAAAACTTATTTCAGATTGTAGGAGGTTGGTCATGGTTGCCCATTTAAGTACTGACTGCACTCAACACTTCAGTGATCAAACAAGAACTGGTGCTTTCAGTGTGATTTAACTGTAAGCATATTTTTTTTTCTGTAGGATAACACTGTTTCATTATCAAGGTCACATGTAGTATCCAGGTAATCTATTACCTTTCTGCTGGTTTTAACCACAAGGGTGAATCTAGATTCTTTAAAGCATTTTGCAATTCTTACCTCAGGTTTTTGACTTCTCTACCATTCATGTTCCTAAGTATTAGAAGTCAGAGCCATGTAGGTAGAGTGGTGTGTTACAAGAAAAAAAAACATTCATGTGTGCATCCCTGGAAGAATTAAAGATAACATTGGATTGTCTTCTTGTTGTCATGTGTGGCTGCAATGTCATTTGACTATTGATGGAAAAACAGATAAGAGGAACTCTATATAATTTTGGTAGAGAAAGATATATGCCATGTTTGCCTTGTTATTCCAGAAGAGTGTTAAGAGAAAGGGCTACATTTGCAATTCACAACATTTCTCTCTATTGGTAGAATTTATTGACAGTCTTCTTCTAACAGATTTAGGTTTTTTCTTGAAAACACTAGGTGGATGGTTGGAAGCTGTGTTTATGTAGTATAGGGTAACATTATCTTTTCTTTAGATTGATTGTTATTTTTTACAGCTTATCAACCATCTATAGGTTATTTAAAGCCAAAACCTATTTCAGATTGTAGGAGGTTGCTGGTGGTTGCCTATCTAAGTACTGACTGCACTCAACACTTCGGTGATCAAACAAGAACTCGTGTTTTCAGTGTAATTTGACTGTAAGCAAATTTTTTTTCTGTAGGATGACACTGTTTTATTACTGAGGTCACATGTGGTATCCAGGTAATCTATTACCTTGCTGCTGTTCTTAATCGCAAGGGTGAATCTAGATTCCTTAAAGCATTTTGCAATTTTTACTTCATGTTTTTGACTGCTTATGATAACTTTAATATGTAGCCTATATCTCATATTCAGTTTCTACCATATTGAAAATTTTTCTGTTGCTAAAATTTACTGACAGTCTTTTTGTAAAAGATTTAGGTATTTGCTTGAAACAGTAGGTGGATGGTTGGAAGGTGTGTTTGTTTAACCTAGGGCAACAATATTTTGTCTGTAGACCGATTTGTTCTTTTTACAGTTTATCAGCCATCTGTGGGTTATTTAAAGCCAAAATCATTGTAACAGGTTGTTTATCCAGTGTTCCCTCATCTAAGTACTGCCCAGGCTTTACAATGCTTAACTTTGGTTATCAAATGACAGGTTAAATGGAAGAAACTAAAAGCAAAACAAAAGTGAATAAGGCTGATGAGTATTAATTGATATAAAATCCCTTAAGCATGGAAAACAGAATGAGAACACACTAGACACCTGTAGAAGACTGGAGGGTACAACAGCTGAAACTTTATGAGTATAGTAACAAAGATGAGCAGGCTGGTCTGAATAGAAAAGCATATAATAAATATGTATCTGACTTACATGACACACTAACTCATTACTCCATTAAAATATGAGCATATATCGGTATACATTAGGCTCTAATTTGTGAATCTGAAGTGATAGTATTCATTTAAATTTTTAAAAATCAAAGTTGGCTGGAAAGCATGAAGACAGAAGGGAGTTCCAAAAGCGAGAAATGTGAGAAAAGAAACTGTTAGCATAAAATTTACAGTTACATCAAAGCCAATTCAATTGTAAATTGATGAGACCTGATGAGATTGTGGTGTGTAACTCAACAATTCAACTGATGATAGCAGGTAGGCAAAAAAAAACCCGGTTATACGTCCAACCTTCTTCACGAGCCAAGGCCTTCTGATCTTAAACAGCAGAAACGAGCCTGCTTTATACAGCTGCGGACTGACCACGATTTGCATGCGAATCACGAGGCAACGAGATTTCACGTTAACTGACCGAGACCGCGGCATAAAACATGGGCGCCGCCATTTTGGTTTCTTTTTTACAGTTGGAAGGACCAGAGTTTACATACCGCGCAGATTCGAACGCGTTTCGAGGTAGGCCATTTTCACAATTTTCCCCACACTCCCCCTGATCTCATGATCACAAACAGGGCAGGGAGGTGGCGATCGTCGCCATCGAAGTCCCTCTCCGCGGGGGGATAACACAAGCTTCATCCGTCGTGTTCTCGTCTGTGATTTGAGGTCGGTAAACACTGTGTCGCCGGGGAGGCTGCTGTTATCAGAATCGCTGCCCTGCAGGTCTAACTCAAGGCAGATTGAACGCTCACTACTTCCAGACTCGGAATCGCTTTCATCACGGTAGCGGTAGTGATTGCGCCACCGGTCGCAAGTCTTTAATGTGACGAGGCACCACATCAACTCTCACAGATTGCGGGCTGATAACCTCCGTAACACGCCCAGTGCCGTGCTTTGTCATACACTTGCCGCGTGGGTTTTTGACCCAAACGATGTCTCCTTTTTTCAATCTCTCTCCAGTCACTTCTAGTTCAGGCAGCGGGTTGGCTTCGATGCCTTTCCCGCGGACATGATATTTGTGCAGTGCATCAGCCGCGCCATGGATGGTGAAATGTTATCCTTCGGGCGCATATACATTATACCAGTAAACCGCTTCGATACTGTACAGCCCTTCCTGGCTGCGATGGTCTTGATGGTTCTGTGGTTCCGCTCCACGATGCCGTTTCCACTTGGCGTAGTAGGCACATCGAAACCGCAGATGCACGTCCCAAGTGTCCGCAAATTCTTTAAAATCTTTACTGGTGAACGCAGTATCGTTATCCGTCAGTATTTCCATGGGTGGGCCTCGGTCCAGGAAAACATTCTCCAACAGTCGAATGACGGTGCTCGCGTCTTGTCTGTGCAGCGGCCGCCATACCGCAAAACCTGGAGGGACTGCAATCAATGAGTGTTAAAAATTCTCACCATTGTAGTGAGTTATGTCCATTGCCAGTCTGCTCCAGTTGCTCTTCACGCTCAGTTCTCCCCTTTCCCAGTGAACGGGTGCCGGATCGATCGACTGACAGGTTGTGCAGGCCTTCACAACAGATTTAACGCTTTCTCTGGACACCTGCGGGTCGACTAACCTGGCGGTACAGAGTTCATTTCACGCCGGATGTCCGCATTGACGATGCGTGTTGGCAACCTGGTCCTCATCCAGTCGTCTCCTGCCACTGCACAGCTCTCGAGTGCGGTTCTCCTCTCTTGAGCAGTTCTAGCCACCTGTGCGGTACTCTGGTGAGGCGATCTGCACGGTTCTGACAGGACTGCACGAGTGTCACGTCTACGGTCAATCCATATTCGTCCACCAACGATAATAAAATGCCCAGCCGCCGCCTGACCAGCATCTCACCAGCCGCCTTTTGTGTTCACCTGTGCCTTCCCGGTCAAGGTGTCTGAAATCCACCGTGCACACACGCCCAAATCAGTGACCAAGTGCAACGTTGTCGCCTCCCACTGGAGAGCCAGATTCACTCCTTTAAAGCGCCACATCGAGTTCAGCCAAATTAATGTGCCTGGCATCATTAGTCGGACGCAGCCAGCACGCATCTTCGATGACATTTCCGTTTACTTCCAATGCCACTCCTGTCGCCATGGAACTCGCGTCCACCCAGACTGTGATCTCGTCACCACTCATGCACCAGTCTCCTCCGACGGGATCCAGTTCCAGACTTCACTTAACATCTCTGCTAGTATTACAGAGAGAGGGATCTTTGATGTTATCATCCCATCCGTTGGTTGCTGCGGTTGCCAGGCGCTTGACTTAATGCAACTGCCACCCTGAGCCATCCACACACTGGGAAGTGTCCAACAAGTTTCCCATAATGAAAAATACGCTACCGCCGGTCAACACATCAGGGGCTTCCGGAATTTGACTTCCTCGTTTCCATCGGAGGGTGCCATTTTCTTCCCAGACCTGCAAGCCAAGAACTCTTGCTCCATCTCTCAGTCGCACCGGATCCTTGCACACCAAACCGTAATCCAAAAGTGTTGTCTTACACGCGATGCAGAGGCCAAACTTTCATTAATGAAGATATCATCAACGTATGCTGATGTGGCACTTTCAATTGTGCAGTCTTGCGATGCGATGGCGTCTATAACGGATTTCATGATGAGTGGCGCCACATTTAGCCCAAATCCTAGCAGCGTAAGACAGAAGCGTTGGCCTTTGAAAATAACCGCTTGAAATGGCCACAGCGCTTCGTCGATGTGAATCTGAAGATATGCGTTCCGCAGATCCAGAAGCGACACATTGACTCCTGCCGCCACCACGTTCTCAACTTATGTGCGCACACTTCTGCATCGGCAGTGAAAGCATCCACAAAGTCGTTCAATTCGCGGTAATCGAAAGTACCGGACGCACCTTCTGTTTCTGCTCCTGCACGACTGCCATCAAGGGAATCAGACCCTTTGGGGGTCCCAGTCTTTCCTGGGGGTACGGAATCAGCCAGCCGCTCACAATCCACTGCTGAAGCTCTTTCGTATTTTCCTCTGATGCTGTCTGGAACTTTGTACTCAGCGACCTTGTTGCGGCTGAACTGGCGGGTCTTTTTGGGCCCATTTCACCTGGCGGTCCACACTCTCTCGCCGGAATTGAAGGGAGATAAAACCGCTCACTAACGCAAAGGGCTGCACACACCTTTCTTCTTTCACCCAGTTCCACATTTCCGGTTGGCGGATCATCATGCCTCCTAACGCCGGATCGCATCAATCCCAAGTAGCAGGTCGCACCGAGGGGGCCTTTGACGTGCCACCAAGACGTCGACTTTGGCATGACTCCCTCCGTCTGTTAGGACTGACACAGTCCCAACACCACAACAGGCCGGGACACTCCGTCAATCGTCCAAATCTCGATTTGTTGACTGTTCCATGTCACGATCGATCCGCACTAACGACGATCGGGAACATCCAGTGTCAACGGCGCCCGAACATCGTTTACCCTCAACGACACGTTGACAACAGGCAATGCCGCATTTACTGACCGAGAGTTGCAACAGCACCTTGTCCCCGGACTCGTTTCCCAAGCAATCCTGTGCTACATGGCCTAACTCTTTGCAGCGATAGCAGCGTAGTTTGCTCGGTTCCGTCTGCTGCTCCCTCCTACGTCACTTCGGCTCCGCAGTCCCTAGAGAAATGGTTGGGTCCACCGCACTTGTAGCACTTTGGGCCCTCCCTCGGTGTCTCAGGCGTTCTCACGGCTGCCGCGATCTGTTCCGTGTCCTTCAAGATGTTTCGGGCCCTGGCTAGCAATTCGTCAATTCCCAGTGTGTCCAATCTTGAAGACGCCGCAGGAGCTGACTGGTGTCAAGGGAAGCCCTGCCAGGAAGGCGCACCCAGTATGCGGTCCGTTGTTCGCCAAACGGTACTGCCAGCCTTCATAAATCAGCCAGGTAAACATCCACAGTCTCACCCGGCTCGAGCCGTCGTCCGACGAACTGTTTCCAAGCCGATGAACGGATCTATTCCAAAGGCCGTATACAGGGCGTCCTTGATCTCTTCTAGGTCAGCATCGTCCCCGAAGTTGTTGATATACTCGCGAGGCTCCTCCCGTGAGTCTCAGTGGGATGACTAGTGCAGGTTCCTTTATTTTGGACACCCTGCAAACACGTTCGCCTTTTCAAACAATTCGACGATAGTCGGGCCCGTGGGGGAGTTTTTCGAATTCTGGGATCAACTTTAGATCGAACTTGTCCATTGCAAATAGCTTGTGGTGTGTAACTCAACAATTCAACTGATGATAGCAGGTAGGCACAAAGAAAACCGTGTCGCACGTCCAACCTTTCTCACGAGCGAAGGCCTTCTGATCTTAAACAGCAGAAACGAGCCTGCTTTATACAGCTGCGGACCGACCACGATTTGCATGCGAATCACGAGGCAACGAGATTTCACGTTAACTGACCGAGACCGCTCGGCATAAAAACGCGGGCGCCGCCATTTTGGTTTTTTTTTACAGTTGGAAGGACCAGAGTTTACATACTGCGCAGATTCGAATGCGTTTCCGAGGTAGGCCATTTTCACAATTTTCCCCACATTGATGAGACCTTGTTGCCAATCTAGTAATGCACTTAAATTCATGAAGTCTAGGTACCATAGCAAAGAGCTCATCCGAACAATTGCCATGAAAGCATTTATAGAAAAGGCACAGGGAGGCAACCTTATGGCAGTAGGAAAGTGACTGAAGCTGAAACACCAGATCAGGACTAATAATATTGCTGATTCTTGGCTGAAACATCATGTTTATAACGGATATTTATAATAAGTACAGATGAGAACAATTGTTCAAACAAATCAAATAATAAAAACAACAGAGTATATTGATAATTCCTCAAAAATCAAAACTAAACTTTTCAAATTAATATTGGCAAATAATTTGGTCAAGTATTGTATTAAAAGTAAATTAAAACAATCAAAATCAATTGGCTGCAATTCCTGAATCCAATGAATGTCATTTTATGGCAAACACTACTTTCAAGAATGCATAAATATCAATTATAACACTTTAGAAAATAATGTCTATGGATAATTAACCAAAGATTAAAACTCAAAAAAAGGATATAGGCAGGATCATCCATATCAGGTTCTGGTGTGGAGAAATATGGCTGGATACACAATAAATCTGGAACAAGGGACAATGTTAGGTTGGGAACTTTATGACCAAGTTTTTTCATGCATCTGTAAGGAAAATGAACAAAGATTCATGTAGATTAAGAAAAACGTTTCTCTTTTGTCATTCACGTGTATCAAAGTTATGAATTTCAGTCCGAAACTATTACCTTTTATTTTATTAAGCTGACATATCAGATAGCAAATGTTGGTAGCATGATAATGGCTGAACAGTTATGGAGACCAATCTGTGAATGTGAGCACAGTTTGGCCATGGGTAATATGTTTCAAAAGTGGTGACAGCAATATGTAACACAAAATATCAACCCAGAAAATGATGAGGGCTTCAATCAGTTCATCTGCTATGGTGGCAACTATGCAGAAAAACAGTGCTTTGTAGCTGTAAACTTGCTCCATCCAACTGTGTTATCACACTCAATATATCTTTTGTATGTTTCATGTAAATAAGTAAACACCAATACTATTAAACCTTTTCCTATATTTTCATTTTTAACAGACTTTTACACCTAAGTTTATTTCATGTATATTTAAAGATAATACACAGATAATCTTAACAAAACAAGATAAGGAATTTATTTACGAATTTACCTACTTGAAGTTGTATCAGTAGCTCATTTCAGGAAAATAAATCAGAAATTTTTAAAGTCCATAGTTTCAACAAATTGTCATGAAGAGGAAATGTTCAATGGATTAAATTATCTGATACAAAATAATATTCAAAAATGTTTAAAACAAAGGTAGGAGAATTCGTTGTCCACAGAAAAGATATATGGTTGTATATGATCAAAAGTAGACAAAGAGAGAATTTGAAAGACTTAGCTTTCTTGGATTGGTGAAAGAAAAGTGCCACATGCTTATTTAAAAGCCAATTATATATTTGGTGAGTAATTTTACACTGGCAAAAACTTGAACACTGGATATGTTAATAAAAATGAAACCTTTCACATGACTTCAGAAACTCTTCTCTTGTTAATTTTTTTTCTTCATTTTATATCAGAAAGGATTTTGCATAGGTTCATTATTTTCTTTTCTTTCTTGGCTCAGCAACTAATTTCTGTGAAGACAAGGTTTTCATTGGTCCAAACAAAATTTCACATAGGCTCATGAATTTATTTCCATCTTTTTCTCAGTTCACCCAAATTTTAAGGGAGTGGGTGAAGGGAGTTCTTATTATTTTGTACTCACTACAGATAGATGAGGAGAGAACACCCTCAACATCTGTTTCAGTGAAATGGAAAAAACTTGTCAATTTCAAAATCTTTAAATTTTAATGACCTGCATTTATATTTACGATATTTATTGCACTATTTGTTAAAGATGTTGAGCTGAAATATTTAACGAGGCAATACAGGAATTTCTATGGGTATTTTACAGTTGTGGAACTCACTTGGTGTTTATTCAATCATTAATTTGAGCATTAAAATTCATCAGAAAATGAAAATAGAAAAACCATCTAATTTTCAGAGGTATTTCTAGTTATTGTTATTATTATTATTGTTGTTGTTACTATTATTATATAATATTATTAACAATATTATTCATCTGTACTTTTTGTTTCAGATGTTATAATGGCAGATGCCTGTCTTGAGAATCTGGCAATGCTGATGCATTATTTTAAACTAGAGCGCAAATCTACTGAATCTGAATCTGTTTGTAGAATTCAGGAATTGGTAGGAAATTAACCAATATCTGACTGGACTGCTAGAAATTGGTTTATGCATTTTTAAGTGTGAAGAGTGAAAGTAACAAAAAAAAAAAGCTATTGCTAAAAACTCAACCAAGTCATGTGAGCTGTGGGAAGGGAATAACAGTAAAAGGGTAACATAAGTGGAGACTAGACACTGGGGAAGATAGACATTCTTAGAAATGCAGCCCAAGAGGGAGTGCTGTTGTAATCCACCCCTCCACACACACACACACTGATTTTCTATACAATCAAAATTATCCAGTGGTTTAAAAAAAAAAAAAAAAAAAGAAAAGAAACTCTTTGCCCCTCATCTCTTTTAGTAAACAAAATAACTTCAGTAGCAGCACCCAATGACATTATTTAAATTTGGACTAATGACCTAACCTTTGTTGTTATAATCACAATATTTCGACCTTTGTATCCTCTGGTATTTTTCAGGCATCTTTCAACCAGGGTAACCTTCAGGGAATTTCAAACTGAATCCTTTATTTAATCTACAGAAGTACACTGCTCTTGTTTCACTGTCCATGTCTAGGGATATTTCATTTTGTTCTTTTTAGTTTTATTCTGTTATTCCCCGTCCCTGTTTTCACTGAGTCTGGGTCTGTAGTACCCAGTGAAATCACAATTCAGTGCCACTAAATTCACAAACCAATGCTTTAATTCCCTAGACCAGTCATGGTCCAGATGCAGACCAATTGGCTTTGTGAACAGCACGCCTAATTCCTTAAGGAAACTAACATTTATTAAAATGTTGTTTGTTTCTCTTCATTCTCACTTGTTCACTCACATACTCTCATACATAAAAACATATATAAACAATGATTAAGTACAATGTTTCTGGAAGTTTTTAACTTTTCATTGAAGATAATGTTGTCAGCATTTTAAACTATTGCCGATTTTCACTATGGAAGATCATACGTGCAAACATCTTTTGCTTCAGAAACAAGAAACATCAATGATAATTATTTTTCTCTAAAGAATAAATATACTTATTCTTTTACAAATATTTTTGTACAGTCAATGAATAAATTAGAAACATCTCAAAATGCAGCAGTGTGTGTTAATCACTCCGTTTTCAGGGATACTATTACACCAAGCTTTCAGGGTTTTTTTCGATTAGAGAAGGAATAGTTTCTCTAAAAAAAAAAACAAACAACTTTTCCTCATTTCTGAGACAGATGCTTATGCACATGGTCTTTTATTGGGAAAATTTTTGCAGTATCTTTAATGAATTTTTAGTAATGCAGACCATCTTATGATGTACTGATCTTCATACAGCCCATTGTTCAAAAAAAGTTTCCCATGCCTGTCTTAGGCAAATAGTCCCAAAGGACATTACTCTGAAATGTAAATAATAAGTAATGATGAATTCTCACACCAGAAATTCAAACAGAAATTAACCAATGTCAGTCTTTCATTTGACTCTACTCTATTGATATTCCAATGTTTTACTGCAATTGCATTCCCACTGAATTATTGTAAAATATTCTCTGAAAATCTGGATTTATTAATTGCACTCCACAAGTAACTATTATATCCTCAAACTTTCAAATCCAAGAGTCAGATGGGTCCAGTATTGGATAGTTTTAAAAATGAAAACAACATACAAGATACGTACAATTAAGATGACACTATTAGAACTGAAACAAGCAAATAGACCAACCTCCATATAGATAATCTGTCTTGGGGATAACGTTTTAAATTGTCAAGAAGTCGCATTATGCACTGGTTTAAAGAGGAGCTTGTAGCCAGATTCATGTTGCCAAGCATTTCTCGCAAAGCTTCCCGGACAATGAAGTTGAAATCCTAAAACCATCAGAAAAGAAAATATTTAAAATCACTTTTTCAAACAGAACAAAAAAACAAGATACATGTATTATGCACTAAAAAAGAAGAATGGCATTTCTTCTATGCAGTGTAATATGATTGCTAGCATGATTTTGGCCATAGAAAATCGGCATGGTATAATAAAAAAGTTTTACACATGGGCAAATGAAAGCAAAGTACACGATCTTGATATATGATTTAAGTATAAGTTATGATTACATGGCTTTTTAAATACCAGTAAAAGGCTAGAGAGCCACTCAAAGTATAGGATTACTGTTAAAATGGCTATGATGAATTATGTGATATGAATGAAAGGTGGAAGGAAGTGAAGAAAGTGAGGATAAGAAGGACAGATAACAACTGACAGTTTACTTGGAAAGGTTAAGATTGTAGTGTTTGGAGAAGCCACGGAAATAACAACGGAGTAGCAAGCAGGTAGTGAAGTTGTGCCTGTGGGAAAGAGGCTGCAGAGTAGAGAATAAATTGCCTTCATAAGATTATGTAATCGATTTTGAACTCTATCAAGGTTGGAAAGCCAGGATTGAGTAGCCTAGATTTAGCAGCAAATAACCAAGAAAATTTATAAAATGTGACCAGCTAGCAACAATGGCCAGCAGAAACATGTGCATCAGAGAAGTCAAATTCTAAGGAAAGGTTGGGATGTAATATTTTTGGTGATATTTTGAATTGCAAGTCACACAGTTGAAAAAAGAAAAAAAAGTCTGCAATATTAATGGTCTGATGGTACAAACCTTACACCCTTTGATTTCAATCTATTAGCTCTCCTCCAGATTTCCTTTTATTTACTTTTTTTCAACCAAGATGGTCATTACTAGTTCACATCCAGGTTTACAACTTCTAGTCTACATCCAAGTCTTTTGCTATTGCTTATCCCAGAAAGATATTCCTTCTTTTATCCATCATAACCTGATGAATATTTATATAGACACCACTCTACCCATCCAAGTTACTTTCTGATAATAAACATAATACATAGACATTTTTGACAATGACCAGTAAGTACATTATGTTCTGTTTCCCTTTAAAAGGACATTTAAGCCTGTGTTAGTAACATGGGATATTTTGTTATTCCCATATTTTTAAAGTAATTGTAATTCCTAGTTGGTAACTTGTTTCTTTTGCTCACTCTCACTACTCTCCTAATTCAGTGAGAGTGTGTAGCTCAGTTGTTATGGAAGGCAGATGCCACAGGACTATTCATTTTCAGAAATGTGACATGATTAATGCAGGGTTAAACATTCCCACTTTTCCATGTGGTCAGAGACGGTAAAACAAAACTTCATCCTTTATTCAATATCATTTTTTCTCTCCAACCAATATTTTGAATAAATCTTTTTGAGAACTCACAACTATTTTTCAAATCTGGAGTCATGTGGAGTCAGAATATGAGACAACTTAGCAAAAAGATCAAGAGAAATGTAAGGGAAGTAATTTAGTGACAGTAATGCTAAAATTGTTTAACACACCAACTCAGGTTCTTTCGGTCATCTAGAAATCTATAGATAAATAGATGAAATCCATCTATGAAGTACTTTTGATACTAAAGAAAAGATATTAGTAGATTTAAAACAAATTCAAGATTAAGATCAATGTGACTGCTTGCACTGAAAGAAAGGCTGGTTACTTTGTATGGTACCATGAAATATTTAACTCCTGTTGCCATGCTCTATCTTTACAGGTGAAAGATCAAACCAAGAAAGGAGTATTGCTGATTGGATCAAGAAAGGAGTATTGTTGATTGGAGCAAGAAAGGAGTATTGTTGATCAGACCAAGAAAGGAGTATTGTTGATCGGACCAAGAAAGGAGTATTGCTGATCAGATGAAGAAAGGAGTATTGCTGATCAGATGAAGAAAGGAGTATTGTTGATTGAACCAAGAAAGGAGTATTGTTGATCGGACCAAGAAAGGAGTATTGTTGATCGGACCAAGAAAGGAATATTGTTGATCAGATGAAGAAAGGAGTATTGCTGATTGGATCAAGTTGATCGAACCAAGAAAGGAGTATTGTTGATCGGACCAAGAAAAGAGTATTGTTGATCAGATGAAGAAAGGAGTATTGTTGATCAGATCAAGAAAGGAGTATTGTTGATCGGACCAAGAAAGGAGAATTGCTGTCTAGTCCTCCCTGTTAAACCTTGACAGAGTTCAAAAGTGATTACATGACCTTAAGAGTGATTAATTATTTTCCACCACACAATCCCTATCTTACCAATGAAACATTGCTAGCTTCTCACTACAGGTCGACTAATCCTAATCTCAAATCCTAAGATCTGGCTGCGTTTCACTTTTTAGAACATTTTGGATTATAGAATAATTATGGTAAAACAAAAAAACGAAAATATGACTGACAGAAAATAACATTACGTTTTATGGGAAAACACATTGATAAATAAAAATGTTGGTTGTTTGGTTGATTTTGTTTAGTGGCATATCAACATCTATGAATTATTTAATGCCAAAATCTAAATATTTTGAACACAATTTTATGGCTTCAACTAAATATATTTTGAAAACCATAGTATGCCATCAACTACAATTAAAATATATTGTTGGTCAGATGTAGTTTATTATTTTTCATAGAAAATATTCGTCCTTTGACAGAATTCGAACCTGCATCCTATACGGAACCGTCATTTACGCTGACGTGCCTTAACCGACTCGGCCCAAAGGAGCGTTTGTTTGTGGTCGAGTCGGTTAAGGCACGTCAGCGTAAATGACGGTTCCATATAGGATGCAGGTTCGAATTCTGTCAAAGGACGAATATTTTCTATGAAAATTTCTGACATTCAGGCGGTAAATGTTATTTAATACTGTTTATTATAAACAGAGCATTTACTTAAATACTTGTATCTATAAAAAGAACGTTAAACATAAAAATGTCTTTGATAAATAAATTGTCGGACTTTGTCTATTTCTTAATATATATATATATATATATATAGTAAGAGAGAGAGAGATAGTGATATGGATTTTAGAAACAGTTGTTCAAATACCTGCAGCACACCAAGAACGACTTCAAGCTGATCTTCTCGCAGGACAACATGTGCACTGATTTTCTGCATGCTATTTATGGCATTTAGTCGAACCATTTCTATTTCATCGTTGAACATATCAATAAGGCTGTCCTGGGCCATTCGAGCAAAACTTGGAGAATGTGCAGACAACTCACATAAAGAATCCAATGCTGCATTGCGAACTTCTGCAATTTAAATGTTTAAATTAAATAAAAGAAAAAAACAATAAGTTTATCACAATTTCCCTTTGATTTAATCTAGTTTTAACTTGATGATTAGAGGAAAAATATTGAGATGTAAGGGAGACTATTCATAGTCTCCATTCTCCATATGTCTAAATTAGACTGCAAACAGATTTGTAGTTTATGAAGAAGATACTGTGAGTGGTCAAATGTATCAAAAGTGGTTTGTAGAGTTTCAATGCAAGATTTCTTACTGAATGATGCCCCATGATCAGATAGATTAGTTGACTGATAGAAACTGTCAAACCAGGTTCAAATCCTGGCCTAGTCAGTTATGTTCACTTTTGCACTAATGACCTTGGGAAAGACATGAATTAATTTCTATTCCCTTACCGCCATCTATGAGTTAAACAATAGTGTAGACTAGGCTCTGTAGCCTTGACTGGCAAAATCTAAAAGAAGGAAAATGCTGAATTTCAAACCATAGAAAAAGAAATGTGAAACCATTCCATTGTCTTTCCCCAAAATGCGTGCCAATTTAGAGACAATAAAGAAAAAGAATCTGTGGAATGCCATGATCATTTATGTCCTGAAGGAATGTGGATTTAACAAAAAAAAAAGAAAAAAAAAAGACTATTTCATTAAATAAGAATGATTTAAAATATGATAGTAATGCTGAATAAATTGAGTCAACAAAATCCAAAGAACCTGCCTAAATATTCATCTTCCAGGCCATGAATAAATGCACCACAGGCACCACTGTTCATCAAACTGATGTTATCAGGATCAATTTCTTCATTTGGTGCATCATCGCCAAATTTCTGGCCTGTTGACCACTCCCCAGACATGTAGTTTTCACGGGCACGTTCATGAGCAGTTCGCTTTCTCTGAAAAAGGAGAAAATAAAAAAAATAAACACTGAATTTTAATTATTTTCTTTGTCAATTTTTTTATATAGGACTGTTAAATTTTTAAATTATCATTTTTTTTCATGAGTATTTGTGATGAAGTAATGTAATCTGGCAACAAAAAAAAACATTGACACTAATCACTAACTGAAAACCAACCATATGCACAGGATTTTAAATGAATTCCTACAAAAAGCTGCAATTTTCTAGATTTTAAAACAATTTCCTGCAAAAGGGCTAAATTTTCAAAATTTTTGAACAAGTTCCTGCAAAAGGGCTAAATTTTCTAGATTTTTAAACAAGTTCCTGCAAAAGGGCTAAATTTTTATAGATTTTCCAACAATTTCCTGCAAAAGGCCTAAATTTTATAGATTTGAAATGAGTCCCTGCAAAAGATCTAATTTTTGTAGATTTTTAAATGAGTTCCTGCAGAAGGCCAAAATTTTCTAGATTTTTAAACAAGTTCCTGTAAAATGCCTAAATTATGTATATGAACAACATATTTATTGAATTCTATCTTATTTGAAAATCTTCACTGGCATGAACTTCTGAATCATATTTACTTTAAACATCTGAGGAAGCATGTTACTTTTTACAAAAGATTTGATATACCAACATTTTTACTATAAATTTATATTTTTTTTATTCTGAACACTACCGCCCTTCAGATTGCTTTTTGCTTATTATCTGTGTAATACTATAACTTCTTGGAAAAGATAGTGGAGTGGTTTCCTGTTGCATTCTCCATGGTTTTTAATTTCAGAATAGACTGGTTACCACTGACAGTTAAAGAGACCAGTTTGCTCTATTTATACCATAACTGGAGAAAGCAGAGATCGCCAGAATTTGAACTTGGTTCACTTATCCCACTTTCCACATTGACAAAATTTTTTGCACAGTAATAAATACAGGTATAATATTGAATTAGATTCCTGCGAGGACTTCTAATAAATATCATCATGGGTTAATATTTATGGTCTCTTGATAACCACTACACTCACTACAAATGCAAACATGACAAAACGATTTTTTTATGTCTTGATTTTCCAGTGACTGGAAAAAAAGTCCTGGTTATAACTTTGGTTTCTAGATAGGAAATTTTCAGCAAGATGTCTATTTTAAATGGTTAAACAATAAGATAAGTAGTCCAGTTCAGTATTATAGTTAAACTGTAAATCAAACTCTTCACTAGAAACTTTAAAATGTTTTGCAATTTTCAAAAACTAATGTTAAAATCTACTCCAGGGTAACACTAATAACCACAGAAAATTTGACTTTGGCAATCATTACGTTATATAATGAGAGAAAGATTAACAGAGAGATTTTTAGTGAATTACATTGGGACCTTGCCTTATCAAAGTACAGTGGGACTTTTCCTTATCAATTTTTTCTTTAAACAAGAATGCAACAAATTATAATTTATTTTGATATTTATATAGCAAATGCACATCAATACAGACACAAAAGAGGCTCCAAGTCATGTGCAGACATGTCTGTCAAAACTATTTACATCTGGGTTCTTTCTATTAGCAGCAGAACATCTTTGCATGTCTAGATACATGCCTCTCTACAGCTTGTCTAGATCTGAGTGTTTGTTAGCTGTCCCATGCCAATAAAAGTGACAGGAAAATCAGCAGTGGGCAGTTGGTGAAACATGGTGTCTTGTGAAGTCATTCCTTTTGGAATTTTGTTCCTAAAGTTGTGTGCCATATGCTGTGCTGTCGTTCCTGAGATAGTGCTGTTTTGTTTGCTCCCATCTATTTCCCTTCTCTGCATGTTACCACGTAGTTCTTGGGAGAGGAATCAGTTAGGTGTTTCCCAAACCTCAATACATCCTTGCTGTATTGTTAGCTAGTAAAAAAATAATAATTTCACACAACTGTTTCAAGTCAGGTCAAGCTTAGACCTGATACTGATAACATGTAACCCAGTACAACCTGCCACATGAACAGGTGGTTAGTGTCTAAATCAGCTTTTCTACTGGTAAGGAGAGTGACATATCACCCCACAGAATTAATACAGAAATTATCCATTTCAATGCTTCAGTCAGACGAAAGGCACAAGACAGTGGTCAGGGGAGGATGAAATGTAAGGTATTAGCCTTAAAGAGAAGAGGTTTTATAAAATTAAACCCTTATAAAATCTCTTCCCCTTAAGGCTAATACCTTTCACCCTCCTGACCACTGTCTCATGCCTTTCGTCTGACTGAAGCATTGAAATGGATAATTTCTGCATTAATTTTTCAACAGCTGTCACAGTTAAATTTCTAATTCTGACATAAACTCAGTCTGTATACTGGGGTTGAATAAGACTGACAAAGTTTTCGTCAGTTGAAATAGATCTATGCCCATATGAAGTAATTTTGGATTTTATGGTTTACTACTATATATATATATATAGAGAGTTAGGTAAATCAAACCCTACCTGCACCTTTTGAACTATTTTATTTTTGGACTATGAAGCAGCGTTCCTCTCCTGTGACATCTGTGTATTTTTATAAAAAACATAAGATATACTTTGTGCCCAATGAGCTGGAAAACCAGCGAAACTTAAGTCGCACACCAAAACGTAGGCATATATATGCGTGTATATATATATATATATATATATATATATATATATATATATATATAATATTGCCTTTAAACACATATTTGTCAAAAATAATTAAGTTACTTAATTAGTTCTATTTCAAAAAATCATTTAATGCAAGCTTCTCTCACAAAAAAAAAACAAGCCTGAAAATGTAACTGAGAAATTAATAATATTAGACATATATTATTGATTAAATAAAAATAAACATTTAAAATTTATAACCAATATTTCCTACTTATTTATCTTTATGCAAATGTGTTTTTTTATCCATTTTGGATTTTATTTCTATCATCATCATCATCAGAAGAAGAAAAAGATGATGATGATGATGATGATTTTTTTTTTTTTCAAACATATGTTCAGTGTTATAAATCCAACAAATCTGATTGATGGATGCATTAATAATGAATGGAACAATGTTATTGGGTAACAAAATTGGAGTAAAATAATTTCATTTTTGTTTAAACTTACCCTCATATTTGACATCAATTTCTTGTCTAATGTCTGTTCCAAAAATCGAGGGCTTACTAAATGAAGAGATCCCTAAAAATAGAAAAACAATTTTTTTTAATTATCCAAATATATAAAATACAATGTGTGTGAATAACATTTTTCAGAGTGCACAGATACTATAATGTAATCTAACTCTGAGGATCGGAGAAGTGACCTTGATCCTTGCAGAGTACATACTACACTCTGATCCTAAGCAGAGGACCAGGAGCAACACTTTTATTCTCAGCAGTGTGTACAAATACTACACTGATCCTAAGTAGAAGTGTCAGTCCATATGTAAATAATCTTGTTATCTTTTATTGGTACTATGCTGGTATGAAATAATCTGTAATATGAAAAAAGTCATGTGGTGATTCACCCACAGAAGGGAAAAAGTAAAAAATAAAAGTGAATAAATTTAAATTTATCAAAGCATGATTTCTCTTTACAAAAATTGTTTAATGTATATTTTTGTAAATTTGATCATTTCTTTGTGACACCAAATTGAAAATATCAAAATGACAATCTCTTTAAAATGCATATAAAAGTTTAATTCTGAATTTCATTCTGAATGGAGAATACTTTCAAATCAAAGACTGGATTGTGCAGCATTCACAAGATGTATTTTGGGAATAAATATCATTCAGCAGTTTTATATGCATTCACTCCATTAAGGAAAAACTGTCAACTACCAAAGAAGAATTTATTTCTACAGGTAAAGAGTTGGACTTTCAAACTGAAATTTGTCAATTTTAAATGAAAAATTAAAATACTGAAATTACTTCAATTAAGCCTTGAATAGTTTGACTATGGAAACCAGTTTATTTTCTTGGAGTGCACAAATTGTATGGAAAATATGAAACTAAAACATGAAATAAAAAAACAAACTGGCACTTCATGGATTGGATCAGTCTTGTTCTTTATTCCAGGTGTGATAGGGCACAAAATTTATTTAAGTTAGGAATTGGTACACCACAAGCTTCCTCCAAACACAATTGGGTAAGTACATTATAAAGACTAATTTTGTAAATTTGTTTTTAAATTTGTGCTGTCAGGACTTGGATGACACTTTGCTTTTCTTCATGTAAGACAGAGCATAAAATCCATGTAGATTTACTTGGTCTCTGGAGATTCCAATTAGAAGGAAGTGCCTCATCAGTGAATTAAAAAAAATAGGTCATGTCTTTCCCTGATGCCTTTACTAAAAAGAGACTGGATAATTTTTGCTTTCACCCAAATTAAGCCTGATCTTGTGCCAAATCTTTTGTAGATAAAGATACCAAAAGAAAAAAAAATAGAAATCAGTATGTAAATAAATTGCTATATGCATTTTATTAAAAGTAACGAAAGAAAGTCTTAGTTCTAATATAATCTGAACAAAAGAGTTTGGCAAAATCTGAAGAAATTAAAAGAAAATATCTTTTCTTATTCCTATTATGTGTTACTCATAAGATAAATGGAATTTATATTTCTTCAAATCTTGAATTAAATAAAATTTCAATTCTTGTTATCATTACAAAAAGGAAATCAAAATGCAACGTAAACATTCTCTCACATATATAAAAACTAAATATTTCATTATGGCATCTAATTAAAATCTTTTGTCACAAAATTTGTATTAAACAATCCCTAGGATTGATCTAAAAGAACACTGATTGACCTCCTTTACATCTAACTAGTTGAATGCAAACAAACCAGAAGAACTAATTAACATGCCTACATTTTGTGCTCTAATTAGCTGAATGCAAAATGCTATTTATTTAGGCAGTGAGGTCATTCAATCAGTTATTACGAGATGGAAGAGTCATTAAGATATAATCCATGAAGAGGTGTCTGTGTTAATCACACTTCCAGGACCTCAATTTACCATCCATGTCTTTTCGTACTCATTTTTTTCAGCTATCTCATATTTAGAATTACACCTGACAAAGAAATAAACATAAGAAATGTATTTTTCAACACAATATGTTCGCCTTGTGCCATCGAGTTGCTTTCCACAATGTGAATGTGGCTCTTTTTTTGACAACCCATTCTTTTCAACTGTATTTGAATATCAAATAAACAGAAGACTCAAGAAGGTTATTTGAAAAAGCAGGTAGCAAAGTAGCCAACCCAACAACCATTGTCTCATACAACAAGTGTTCAATTTGCTAACACTACACATACTGTATTGCAGATTCTATAAATAGAGATTTGAGTTGTCTTAAGTTGTTTTTCTTCTAACGACAGTAAATAAAATGTTAAATTATTAGTAACATAAATTATTGTAAAATCAAGAACTGGATTCCCTCAAGTGGATAGGTGGTAGCGGTAAATTCTACTAAATTTCTCATCATAACACTTGACATCTATAGCAATATGCCAATAAAACAATCAATTTCTGCACTTGCCCACACAGAAGTTTGAGTAGAGTCCCACTTTAAAAGAAAGCTTTATGCCACATTGCATCCTTGTGGGAGAATGGGAAAATATACTGGTCAAACCAAACCCACCCTCAGCAACATATATAACACAGGTGATTCCATGTTTTATATAAACATTTGTTTTTCATTGTATTGTTAGTAGTAACTGAGTTATAGCTATCAACAAAACCCTTTAAGTAAATCAGTTCTTGCCAAACCAGGTACCATGATACACTGATGCACACAAAATGAAGTGGGCCACAAAAGAGGAAGATTATATTTTAAAACGTGAAAAATTATCAACTGAAATTCGTAATAAAGTAACTGTCAGTTAAAATTTGAAAAGACGCTTAATTACACTTACAGTGTTAAGTTGGAGGGCGGGTAACAGGTACATGAAGACAGTCTGAACTGAGTATTCTTATGTGTGTTAGGTCTACTGTTTCATAGCTAAATCAGAGAAAAGTGAGTTCGATCCTCACTAGGTGTCCCATACTTTCGGCCTTGTGCCACATCTAAGCTACGCTTAGAAAATAACTATTGTTTCATAGCTACCTGCACAAGGGTTATGTATAAAGTTTGTTAAAATATTCTTTTAGTGTGCCATGAGTAAGAAAAGTTAAGAGAATCATCAATGTAAATTATACAAGGCTCAGTTCAGTTGGGCTAGTTAAAAAAATTTTTCCACTTGATAAACAATAACAGTGAGAAAGGAAGGAGACACAAAACTCTTCCTCCATGATAGCTACTGAGGAGGTGCTAAAAACAGAACTAAAAATAAAGAGAGAAAAACATACCAATAAGCTAGCTGCTTCCTTGCGTACTTTCATAGATAAATCATTAATAGTGTTGCAGATTTTCACAAAACCATCATCCACCAGTCGAATCTCTTCTCCAGTATCAGCTACTGGAACCATACTTAGAGAGAAAGAGAGAAAAAAAATGCATTTCAATATCAAATGGATAAATCAGCCAACAATTTAAGCATTTTCTCCCAACTTTACAACATCAACATATATATATATATATATATATATATATATATATATTTTTAAGCGTTTCACCCCAAGCAAGGTGGGACACTAGGACACAAGGGGTTACAGAAAAATTGGAGCAAGATCAGATAGGAGTGATAGAGGAAAGGATGAGAAGAAGGATAGTGGATAGATCAAGGCAACTGGAAATGTCGATTGACATTACATTTGAATAGTAGGAGATTATAGCTCTCAGGAACAGGAATAGGGAAGGGAGTTCCACAGGCAAGAGGTGCGATTTATGAAGCTATTGGAGTAGAAGAGACGGCTACATTTAATAGTTTCAACAGTGAAAGGGTGAGAGCGGGATGCCAGCCTCGTAGGGCGCTTGAATTCATGAAGTCTGGGAACCAGCAAATGCAGCTCCTCAGAGCAATTACCATGGAAGTATTTGTAAAAAAGACAGAGGCAACAGCGCGTCTGTGAGAGAGTGACTGTAGACAAGATGCCAGATCAGGGTCAATTATATTGCATATCTGCCTCTGGATCTCATCAAGAACCCCAAGTCAAACAGAAAGGGTTCCAGACCATATATGGCAGCAATACTCCATGCAAGGGCGAATATCATATTATGAAAAACTTTACAAAATTTCTATGTATAGTTAGAACTGACCTTACATTCATGTGTATTTTAATGCTGTGTTCCTTGAAGATGTAATCAATCATGGCTCACCACAGTTTCCTTTTATTTATAATCTGTGAATTGCCATGTCTCCTTTGGAAAGATAGTAGTTTCCCTCTGACTTTTCCACAATTTTAAATTAATAGTAGTCCTTTTAAACTAGTTACCAGCCAAGGCAACAGAGCCTAATCTACCTTGCCATTTAATCCTTAGAAGAGATGGATTCATACTTTTTCCAAGGACAATAGTGTGAAAATGAATGTGGCAGACTAGGCAGGGATTTGAACTCAGCCCACTGATACTACTTTCCATGTCAATAACTGTTACACTACCTGCACATTAACTTTAAGACTGGATATACTAATTATAAACAAGATGAAAATATACTTAAAAAATTGGTAAATACTAATATATCTACAACAGATCCTAGCAGAAAAAATTAAGTTAATCATATACTAAATCTAGTATATCCAACTCAATTATTCACAATGATTCTTCCCCGCTGGTTAGCAATTTGCAGAAAACCAACATAGTTTACAAATTCAAATGCCCTCTGGGAGATTGTATCTCCAAGGATTAAATAATATTTATGTTGGTCACACCACAAACTCGCTTTCATAATGCTTAACTCACCATTTGAATCACAATTCCAACATTTTTAGGCATTTAAAACAATATGCCTGGCCACATACACAGTTCTGGAAAATCCTTGTTGAAAATACAACTATACTTAACCATGAAAACAATAAATAAAAACTAAAAATTCTTGAAGCTATTTACATAAAACAGTTGAAACCTAACCTGAACAAAATAAACTATGAAAACTCCACAAATATACTTAAATGCTTATAGTTATAACAGGAGCTATTGGTTTTTTATACCAATGGCTTTCCATACTTAACACTTTTCCTCATTTTCACTCTCACATGGTCATGTGTGATGTCATAAACCACAATGCGATATTTGCTTCCTGCATTTCATATGCACAAATTTATCATAATTGCATAGCAATCTTCCATTGTTGCAATGTCTGCATAACCAATCTAAAACAAAAATTACCATCTTTGTTATTTAATTTATTATTTAATTTATTGTAATGTACTTGTAATCTCTGATGATGGCTTATCTAAGACGAAAGCTTAGACAGGATTAACAATAAAAACATCATGTATCAAGATGGTGATTTTCTTTCGTGTTTCAGTGATAATGCTAAAAAGCTTATTCAACAATATGAAAGGAAATTACTTAAAATAAATAAACAAAACTTGTCCATATTATCTAATGAAACAGTCATCGAGTCTAGAAGAAACCTCAACAGAATGCAGAAAGCACTGGACGGTCGTTTCGTCCTATATTTGGGACTCATCAGCAATGCGCATCCACTAGAATTGAAACCCTGACAGTTAGGTTGTCAAGCAAACACCATACCAACTGTTCCAACGGGCCTTTTGACGGAGAGATAGCAAAATCATTTTCGATATAGCATAACTTGATCACATATTCCATGGTAGAACTCATCCAAGTTTCTCTTTTACACAAAGGATTGTGCCCCCACAAGCCACGACTACTATCCCCAAGCCACTCCATCCAGAGCATTAGAAGCCAGTTCAAGCAAGGATATACAAGTGATAGAAATTAGGAGGATCTGAGATAATTATAATTAATTCATTGAGTCTAGAAGAAACCTAGAAGTCTAGAAGGTTTCTTCTAGACTCGATGAATAAAGTTCCATCTAATAAGAAACCATATAAGGAGAAGTCATATAATAGAGTGATTAATTTAAGGTAATGGTTCCCCAAATTTTTTTGTCAGGGCTGCATTTTTGGAATGAAAATTTGCTTGTCTCACCAAATTTTACATGATAAAAAGTACATTTAAAAATAAGAAAAACAGAGAGGGTTAAAGGGAGATAATCACGAATTCAAAGTCAGAACATTATTATTGATAACTCTCTCCTCCAATTTGCAGAGCACAGTTACTGTATTCTTAAGATTTGATATAATGCAAAAATATAAATAAATCAGTCAATAATTATCTATTACTATTTATACTGGGACTCATGCATGCCATTATATATAATCCATTATATTATTTTAAATTTTGAAATCATATTTATTTTTGGTATATGAAATTTTTGAAACTGTTTCTAAGTCTTTGATTGTCTTTCAATCATTCTGCCTCACCTGCTATCTTCTTCCGCCACACCTATGAGGTGCATCACACTATTTGAGAACCACTGATTTAAGGCTAGATTTGATTTTTGGAAGCTATTAGCCCCCCACCCTCAGAGTAGCTAGTATATTCAGGTAAAAAGGGACATGAGTTCAAGTTTCAGGTAAATCTTATCCTTTATTTCTGATAGATGCCATCTTCCTACCACTATAGGTAGACAGCCTGCATAGAACTGTGATAAAAAAAATAAGATAAAAGTCAAAATTAATAATGGTAATGGTACATCCATTTCTGTTGTAAATTAAAATCATACATACAGCTATCAGATGTCTATTCCCTTTTCGATTAATTTTATTAATGCTAAATGTGATAAAAAATAAACACAATATTACTTTGAAAACAAGAGAACTACACAGAAACTTGTTTAGTGATAATTTTGCAAAGAATGAAAATATGTTAAGCATGCACTAAATTCAAGTTTTTTTTTTGTATTTCAAATGAAGGTTTAACAAATTTACTTAATTAAATCTCAAGGACTTATCTATATATTCTGTTACCTCCTTAAGAATGTAATTCTCTTTTGCAGAAATATGTAGGAAGCAGCTTCTTTTATGAGGTTAATCTATCTACAATCAGTATAATACCTTTCCGGGTAAAGATTGCACAAAACCCAAATCAGTTTGACAGCAGATATTCTGACTCCTTCATAATCATCTTTCAAAGAGCGACAGCAATGGTCATACATGGCTAAGTCAACTTGAATGCCTCGTTGATGTAAATTTAACTGAAATGAAACAAAATATTCAAACAAAAAAATCAGATAAACATGGTAGAGAAAATCCAAAAACACTTATTTATCAGTAAAAGAGTTTTAGATTTGCCAAATGATTAAGAATAGAAATTATTACTAATGAAACACTTGGAAATAATCAATATTTTTTGTCAACAAAAATATACAGGAATTAAGTATTAAACATATATATATATATATATATATATATATATATATATATATATATATATATATATATATATATATATTATTAAAATATATATGACAAAGTGGAAAAAATTTTTTTACGTTGCACATTTTGTCTTTTTGAAATTCATACAAAAGTGATATTTACATTGGAGTGATTAGGGGATGCTGAAATTTTAAATTAATTTTTTTTTTTTTAAATATGTGTTTGGATATATAGTCTAGCCAACTCCATTTAGTTTCTTTTTATAACTTTTATTATTAAATATCCCACATTTTAATAATGGAAGATTCCTGTCCAGCTTTTTATAACATTTCACCTTTCTTGGTAAAAAAATCAAACAAATTTCCCACTTATGTCATAAATTTACCTAAAATTGTTCAGATATATAAAAAAATTATATATCATTTTACCATATGTAAAGTTTGTAATGGATAAATTGCCATCTAAATTATGCAAAAATGTAAATAACACTGACATCTCATTTTAACAGATATATTTACCAAAATTACACAAAAATATCTTGAAATGCTAAAGAGTAAATTTATTCAATAAAATCGCAATTGGCTTTAACCACGGCCTCCAGACGACTTTGGAATCTCCTGCAACTCTTCTGGACAGTCTCCTTTTTTTAAGTTGGTGAATGCTGCCATAATCCTTGCCTTCAGTTCATATTTGGTGTTACAAGGAGTTTTGTTGGTCTTGCTCAACTGTTTTCCCCACACATAATAACCAAAGGGGTTACAATCTATAGAGTTAGGTGGTCAGAAGTAAAGCGTGATGTGGTCGCAGAAACTGTCTGACAGCCATAACTGGGTTCTCTTGCTTGTGTGACAGGGTGCAGAGTCCTTTTACCAGACATATGGTCTTCCAACAGCCATCCTCTTGACCCAGGGCAGTACTACCTCCTGAAGGCACTTGATGTAGGTTTGCATGTTGAGTCTGAGGCCCTGTGGAAAGATCAATGGCAGCATAAAGTCACCATCACAAGTGATCACTCCAAACACCATGATGTTGACTGGATATATCCTCAAACTCTTTCTGAATCCTCTTCACAGTCCTCAGATTGACACCCAAACACTCTTAAATGTTTGTATGAAAGCTTCTGAATTTAATGCCAAGTAGTACAGCATGCCAGTTCCAAATTTCTGGCAGAGTGACTTGCGTCATGGTGCTCTTTTTCTCATAGATGGTGCCCAACTGACCCTGCTACACAGTGCAGTCAACAAAATCAAAAACAAACAATGGACATGTGCAAAATTAAAAATATAAAACATCAACAATTACTTATAGTTTTTAATGTGTGCATGTATGTATATATATATATATATATATATACACACACACAGAGACACACACACACACACACACACATATATATATATATATATATATATATATATATATATATATATATATATATATATATATTAGTTTTAATCCTTTCAATTCCATGAATTAATTTCTTGGTGGCTGTAGAAAGCGATTTTCCAGAATTTTAAGTTTATATTTATATAAGAGAATTGCGGCCAAAAATAAGGTCAACTATGAGTATAGCAACAAAGTTCTTAAATGTTTGTTGCAGTAAAGTTTTACATAAAATGTTAAATTAAAATATTGTAAATTATAATTAAAAAATCTTTTTTCTTTTTTTTAAAAATTGCAAAAGTTACTTCCCTTGCATAACTGAAAAAAAATTTCGAATTTTAAACACTGTAAACGAACAGTGAAAAATATTTTGAATTTACAGAGTTACTGTATACACATCCATGGATATTTTAATCTTCTGAAGATGGTCTCAGATGAGATTGAATGTACTTGGGAAAATAAAAATTATTTAAAAGAAAACTTTGGTATTTTTCTTGATCAATTTTGTTCAGCCATCAATAATTTAATTTGTGAAATTGAAAGGATTAAAATTAAAATAGACATAATACATCAAAATTATTTAACCAAATTGCATGAATGAAAATATGCTGCCTATATATATATATATATATATATATATATATATATATATTAATATAATTGACAATGTTCTTATTATTAAAAAATATCACATTTAAAATAAATAATTTGACTATGCAAGTATATTGAAAATCCAAATGCTCTATCCCTGATATTGACAACTTTTACCCATATAGCATACCTTAAAACTATATTTTTATTATATATATATATATGTATATATTCCAACATTGGAAATTTCATGGTTTATATTTTTCATATATCTTTCAAAATTTTTCATGCATATGAGACGCTGAAAGCGAAAAAATCACTAAAATACATTTGATATCACACATGTCACATGAAAAGTATTAAGTATGGAAGGAATTTTGGTATAAACCAATATTTCTGTTATCAATTATAGGCATTTGTTTGTGGAGAAACCTAACCTGAACAAAATAACCTATGAAATCTCCACAAATAATGCCTATAATTTATAACAGAAACTATTGGTTTATACTTCAGCAATTCCCATACTTATATCTTTCCATTTTATTCAGATTTGGTCATGTGTAATGTCATGAGCTGTGGAAATTTCATTAAAAATTTCGGGATTATGTCTTATGTACGAGATTATCTTTGAAGCTATATACATAAAACAGTTGAAACCTAACCTGAACAAAATATATATAAAACCTTACAATGATGAAAACTTTTGTCCTCATATTATAACCTTTCCAGGTTAGATGACACATTTATTTTAAAAAGGTAAAATAAGGTAAATCTATAAGACTTATTAAAATAAATTTAAAATGAAAGTAAATAGCCAAATGTAATAATAATAACAATAATGGTCAATAAAGTTTCATCTAAAAGTTTTAAAGTTTTCAACTAAAATTAATAATAATACTAGTATTAATAGTCATCATCATCATCATCTTGCGGCCTCAGCCGAGATTGAACTCACCAATACTTTGATTGGTGTAGTTCATAATCTTGTCAAATAGCTGAATTCTTGATGCTTCGCTAGGGCTATCAAGGGTGTTTTTATCGTGACACCATCACTAAATGGATTGTCAACCAAGGCTCAGAAAGACTCTATTCACCCTCATCTAAGAGCAGGTTTGAATTCAGAGTTTTCCTTCTCCTAGACCAGTTGCCATCCAAGGCTATAGAACCTAGTCTGTGCTGCTATTTACCCATAGCTGGAGGGAGAAGAAAGAGGATTCACACTTTCCCCAAGGGTGTTAGCACGTAAGTGAATGTAATGGACTCGACTGGAATTCGAACTCGGATCTCCAATTCCTCAATCCAAGCCGCTATCCATTACTCCACCGTGCCTCCTTATTATAATAGTATTAATAGTACAAGACTGGGCTCTCTAGCAATGGATGGTAAACAGTCTCAATGAAGGAAAATTCTGAATTCAAATCTGTATGTAGCTAACATATACTATGCAGCAAACAAAATGATTGTGAAGTTTCCAATGACACCAATGATCCCAACTGCAGTCAATGTAATAGAATAGATAAGGCTAACAATTTAAAAATCATTTGCAGTACTTACAATAGCCAAAAAGGCACTTCTTCGTACCCTGGAATCTTGATCATCCATGTGGTCAACCATGACTTTCTGTAAAGGCAACCGACTAGTGCCAGGCTGACTATCAGCTGTGCCCAACTTTCCCAGTAACTCAAGGCAACTGCTTCGAACAAGATGACTAGAGTCGGATAAATGCTGAAATGATAAGGTAAATTTAATGCTTTGAACTGAACAGTGATATCTTTTAAAAAAGAATAAAAAGGAGAGCTGTCTATATTTCTGAGATGAGGTATTATGTACACTATTTACATTATTTGGACTATTGTCCTCATCTTTGTCACCATATTTATTACAATGTTTCGACCAAGTTCTCCACTGTGCTCAAGGACACATGGCACAGTGGATAAAGGCGTTGGTTAGATCCAGTGACAGGGCCCAAAGTGTGTAAGTTCAATACCTGGTTAAGGCGGTGGAGGACTTGGAGAGGGGAATTAACAGAAGATAACTGTTAACTGACATCCATTAAACATGGCATGTGGAACAAGAACAGTCTACTATCGTGAGCAAAATAAAGGGTTCAGTTTGACATTCCAACCACCTGAAGAAGGCCGAAGCATACAACAGCCAAAACTTCACTTTGAAACTGTGAGACTGGGACTTGTACCATACAAAGAAAGTCTTGTTCATAAAATTGCAATAGCTAGCAATGTTCAGTATAACTCCTTCATCAACTTTGAATGGTCCAATGGTTTGGTTGACAATTGCAGCCCATATCATAACACAATCACCTCCTTGTTGCCTTCTTTTAGCTACAGGCATGTCTGAATTGAATAAAATTCATCCTTTGGCCCATCCAGCAAATATCACTCGATATTTGTCCATGAAAATTACTTTAGAAAAGACAATTTTCATGTATTTCTTTTCAATTTTGACACTTTAAAATACTTGCTTTAGTGACAGGAGTCTGCCTAGGAGATTTTTTTCACAGATCCCAATTCACAAAGTACTCTACACCTTTTGTCCTTCTTGACTCCCTCAATTTCAGCCTTCTTAAAGATCTGAGCGTTGGTGAAAAGTGGTTGTTTCGCTATAACTCACTTTAGTTTATGTTGATCTTGTGGAAGCAAGCTCTTAAAGCCTTTTCCATTGCTTCAAGTTCTCAACTTATATTTTCAACAGCCTTCTTTATCATCCAATGATCTCTGCAAAGCTCCTTTGATATCACCAATGTGGACATTTCCTCACTCAATAAATTTGTTATTTTCAGCAGTTGTTAGACCCTTCCCTTTACCTATGTTTCAACATATATTATGGACAAAAATAAAAAATAGTTTTTATTAGATTCCAGCAGTTTTAAGCTAATATTAATTTAATCTGCATATTAATTCAGTTAGTCAATTTTCGTAAATTCCAAAGTCTCAAAAAATAACCATTAAAATGGCAGAAAATTTAATTAGATATTTTACTAAAGGTGGAAATGGACAAGTTAAAATTTAACACATACTGGCTCAAAACTTTTTGACTTATTGAGGTTTATTTGATTTGCATAATAACTTCAGACAGGCTATATTTGCATGCACTACCCATTTTAGTTGTTGCTTCTGTTGAAAGTCTCCAAGTGATGTGGCATTTGTTATTTGGTAGATTTGTTTGTGATTCTGTAGCACCAACCGAAAAATCTGATGAACGATTATCTCGTTTAAAACTTAGATGATTCATTCACCTAAAGCCATTTTCAATCCTTGATTTGAGAAAACAGTTGTCTATAGCTGATAATTTAGACATTTCCAAACGAGTTGAATGCCATGCAGAGCATCCATATGAATTTAGATTTGACAAGGTTATTTAATGACTCAAGTTCTTGTGTTAATATTCTGGTTTTGTAGCATCATGCTGTGTTGGGTGAAACTATCCATAACATAGCCTTTCCTATGTGCAATTTCCTTATCTCCTCAACTGAATTAGTAATTGATCCATACACATAAGGTGGGGCAGAAGGTAAAACAGCCCCAGGCATCCATATCACGAGGGCATCCAATCAATGAGTGAAATAAAAATTTAGTTTTTGAAATTTGAAATTGTCTCTGTTAAATTCATTGTACAAGCGCCCTACATTCCCACAAGATAGTGTAAATGTGGATCTGTGTTTTGGTAAGTAAGACTGGAGTAATACACCCCCCACTCCCACCCCTTAGAGACATACAATCAAGGAGTTGGCCCCAGACATCACCAAACATCTGCATGTCACTGTCCATACACCAAGGTATTTGAAGTGTTTAATATTTATTAATTACACATTTTGAATGCCATGATGGATTAAGGATATGTGCCTTCAGTACTTTCATTCGAATTTCAGATCATAGTTTCTGTTTTTGGAAAGGTTTATTATAAGTCCTACTTCTTCGAATATCTGATACAGATTGTTGATTTTTTTTTTTTTTTGTTCAGGATCATTCTTATCCCATCTATGAATACCTATGTCATCAGCATAGCCCCCTCCCCCTCATCTTTGGTGCACTGACCTCTCATGGAAAAACAAGAAAGCTGTTTTCAATTAGTGGATTTGTTTGGGATGTGATAGGGAAGGATTTAAATGATCATGGTCCATCTCTTCATATCTGTGCTTGTATAAAAAGGCACAGAGCAAAAGTGTAGGAAGAGATTAAAAAGATGAAGCCTCTCTCATTTTCTTCCTTCTTGTACTTAGGATGACTTTTGAAATGATTCAATGATTGGGTCTTCACCAAACATATACAACAAAAGAGAGAAACCGCAAACGTTTTTTGTTATAATGTGGATTTGTTTTAGTGTATATATTATATTTTATTCTTCATATTATTTTATTACCACTTAGGCAGAAATTCATTCAGTCTAGAAATGAGATCAAGGCTCACTACAAATACAGAAAATGAACAATGAAACATTAAAATAACATAAGGAAAATTTAATCCTTTAAAAATTGATTCCTGTAAATTTGAAAAAATTAGATCAGCTGATCATCCTACTTTGGTTTCAAAAAAGATAAAAGATTTATATATCGTTATTCTATATATATATATATATATATATATATATATATATATATATACATATGTGTGTGTGTAGGTGACAAGAATTCATTTAAACACATACAATGTTGATTGTATTTTTTTAAAAACTTATAACCCTTTGTGGGTTATTTAAAGCCTAAACATATTTTGGATTATAGGTGGTCACTTTCAGTGCCCAGTGTTCCCAAGTGAGCGCCCATCTAAGTACTGACCAAGTTCAACACTACTTAACTTTGGTGATCATATAAGAACCAGAAAGACATACAAAAGAAACAACCAGCATAAAATAAATTTCACCAGAGGAAATGGTATTTTAAAGGGTGTATAAAATATTTAATAGGCATATAAAATGAGAAACTATATAAATATTTGATACTTTCTTTTACAGTGCTGTTGGAAATCTGTTTTATGCATGAAATCACTTATGATATACATATATATGAATTCTAGCACTCTCCAAAAATACCAGAACACAACCTACAAAATCTTGTCTATCATACTGACAACATCCAATCCTTGATAATGACTGAGACACTCAAAAACAAAGCACTTGAACAAAAACAAAACAAAGTAGTAACTGTAGACATTTGATCCTCAATGTTGATCCCAGTGTACATCTTATTTGAAAATTGGAGAAATAATGCTAAAAAATTAGACAAAACTTGTCAGTTGAATTGAACAAACTCATTATATATATATAGTGAACCTTTTAAAACCTTTATTCTACAATCTACATTCAACATCATCACTTGATAAGACACCAGAGGTGTTGAAACAAAATGGTTATTTTTGTAGTGATTTTATAACATATTTATGTTACATTTTTTAAATAAATTAATGATACATTGGTATATGAGTGTGCCTCCAAAACTTGGGATGAGCAGAGCCTGGCAGTTGATCTTTCCTCTGACATAGCTTTAACAATTCAGTGGGGGAAAAAATAGCTAGTCACATCCAATGCCTTCAAAAAATAAATAAATAAACTGGCAATGTCCCATCATCACCAAGCAAACCCTGTATTTTCACCTATCACAATGAACAGGCATTCCCTCAGGGAGGCCTCATGCTTTAAGCACCTACTGGGAATTGTTATACTCAATCTGACCTACTCAACCCAGACCTCAAGTGGAACTCATACACACAATCCATCACCAAAGATGCTGGAAAAATGGTTGGTTCACTGTATAGCTCCAGTAAGTACCTAACTTGGCCTGCTATCCTCTACCTTTACAAAGTACTGCTGCCATATATAGACAGGAGTCACTTTCCCCAGTCTCAATAGAGTCTGAAAGTGTCTCCACAGACTTGTGGACAATGGATTATTTCCCACAGATGTAACATTGCAAAACTGCCACTATTCTATCACTATTTCCATGGAGTGTTCAGATGAACTACATTCCTTAGTTTCATAAGTTCTAACCTTCATGGCTAAGACTCACCATGCCACACACATTGTAACAAACCACCCTCATTCCCTTTGTATTCCATTGGTGAGATGTAAGTTCCATTCAAACAGCTTCTTCCTATGAACTGCTACTTTCTGGAACTCCCAAGAGGATGCTTCCCTGATTACGACAATCTTAACCTGTTCAAGTCTAGGGTTAACCATTATCTTCCCCACATATCATCATAAACTGTGCCTCTTACCTCTTACTCTGTAACCCTCTACCTCGAATGGCTCTTGGGCCTTATACTGAGTGAACATTATTGTAGAGAAAAAATATAACTTACCTTAAAGGCAGTTGAAATAAGCTTTTCTTGCATATCAGAATTGTTATACTCAATCTGACCAATCACAATCATTGATTCAATCAGCTGACTGATGACCCGATGAGATTCTAAAAACAACCACCAAACAACATTATTAAATATCAAAAATAAATGCATAACATACAAAAATAATAGAAATATCAAAATATTTCTTAAAGGGATTGGCCAAAATGTTCATTCTGATATGTGTCAAAGTGCTTATGGATATATCACGTTGAAATACTGGCTTGCATGCATGGGTAATGTAATGGATAATGTCCAGAATTGTAAATCGGAAAGCCGAGTTCTAATTCCAGTCAGGTTTGTTGTATTCACTTAAATGTAATTACCTTTGGGAAAGGTATTAATCCACCTCTTCTCTCCCACTCAGCTATGGATTAATTAGTAGGACTTGTAAAGGTAGAGCATATTGGGAAGAGTCAGGTACTTACTTAATTCTGTTTGTTGGGCAGTTCTACCATTTATATTTAACAATGGCCACTTACTGTACAGACTATGGACTTACTGCTGTAGTCTTTTGTACCAAATACAAGTGCCATCTGGAATTGCTGATGTCAATGGGAATATTCCAACTTCTAAAATAAGTATGTCAATTCAAATAAATGTTTTGCCAGGAATTTCTGATTCAACATGATTCAGTCAGTTATGTGCCATGCGTGATACACACTTAGCTGATCATGTATCTTTCGATACATGACTAACAAGGCAGATTTTTTCCCACAGTAGGTTGTTATTTCTTTCTACGGTAGACCAGTTTCCATCTAAGGCTATAGAACCCGGACTGCCCTGCTATTTACCGATAGCTGTGGGGAGAAGACGAGGATTCATATCTTCCCCAAGGGTATTAGCACATAAATGAATGTAATGGATTCGACTGAAATTCAAACTCGGCTCTCTGATCTGGAACAAATTAATCATACCACATAGAAAGTCAACACTTGTATTTGATACACAAGAATATCTAATACTTATACGTATGTTTTTGTATTCACTTATTTCATAATTTCTTTTTAATCATTTCATCCCCAGGCAAAGCAATAATGCCACTAACATGCAAGGGGTTACTGGGATTAAAAGAGAATAAGAAGACTTTAGTGAGGAGAAAAGACAATAAAAAAACAGGTTTCAGGAAAATAGAACATGGTGAATGACATTGAATTCAAATTTTTGATGATTGTAATAAAAAATCGGAAGAGAGCTCCACAAGTGAGAAGTATAAGAGAAGAAACTGTCAAAGTAGAACTTATGATTACATCTAGCTAATTCAATAGTAGAATGATGAGACCTAATTGCCAATCTAGTAGTATGCTTAATTCAATGTGATCAAGGTACCAAGAAGGAGAGCTCATTAGAATGGCCTGCCTTCAAAATATTTATAGACATGACAGAGTGAAGCCACGTCATGGCAGTGGATAAGTAACTGAAGTCAAGATGCCAGATCAGGACCAATAACATTTCAGACCCTTGTTTGGATTTTGTTAAAAATCTCTGGTTGTATAGCCAAATAACCAGATCAGGCATGGCAGCAGTATTCAATGCATAGACGAATGGTAGATTTATAAATGGGCAAAATGGATTCTGACGAGAAAAATTGTCTGGCTCAACACATTGAATCAACTTTCCTTTCCAAGAAGCAGATCTAACAATTGACTCAATATAATAATATAATGTCAATGAAAAATGCAATTGAATGAATTTGTTGTCTATAGTTTATTAAACCTTTGCAGTTTATTTAAAAGTGAGAAAATATTTTTAGATTGTCAGAATTTTTGTTTTTAGACAATAATGATTTAGTGATACAAGTCTTACTAATTAACCCATAGCTGGGGAGAGAATATTTGGATTCATACCTCTCTGAAGGGTATTAGCATGTAAGTTTGGTTAGGTTTACTTTGTTTTACAGCATATCAACCTCAATGTGTTATTTAATGCCAACAAAATTTTTTATTGCTGGTAATATTTTTTTTTCCAGAAATGTATTGCTGGTAATATTTTTTTCTTCAAAAATCTATTGCTGGTAATATTTTTTCAAAAAATGTATAGCTGTTTGTATTGCTAGTAATATTTTTTTTTAAATATATTGCTGATACTAATTTTTTTCCTTCAAAAATTTATTGCTGGTAATAATTTTTTTTTTACAAAGTATTTCTGGCATTAAAACCTATTTTTACACTTTCATAGTATTTTGGCTCCAGTTTGGGGGTTAACTATTTGCCCATAGCTAGGACCCTGACAGGTGCTACCACTCTGGGTCACCAGCAATTAAGAGGTGGTTCCATACTCCTCAAAACCTCCTGATCAGAGAACTTGCTGTTGGATGTAGTTTATCGTCTTACCCAGGACACAGATGTAATTTATTGTCATACCCAGGACGGAGTATGTGAGTGAATATAATGAACCCAAGTGGAATTAGAACTCGGCTCTCCAATTAACAATTCCGAGGCATTATCTATTACACCACCCACACATCCAAGCTTACAGCCCCTGGTATTCTCAAGTGGTTGCCCATCTAGGTACTGACCAAGTTTGATGTTGCTTAACTTCAGTGATCATACGGGAACCGGTGTTTTAATGTGAGGTGGCTGTAATCTTCCCTCACTGATGAAAAAGCCAACAAAGGCTGGTGGTATAGTGAGGTGTTACTAAGGTGCTCTGGGTTGGTGGTAATAATGTTTAAATCATGAAACTATATCTTATGCCTGACTTGTTTGGAGTGAAATTATTAAAAAAAAAATTTCTTATACATTGCTCTCACAGACCTTCATAGTTTTGCAGCTTACAGTCATCTATCCAGTTGATATTTTCCTCAAAACATCTTTTGAATTAACTAACTAGACCAGGACACTGGGTAGTTAACACAATTTCAGCTGGAAAGGCAAGATAACATTCTAAATCTATTGCCATACTCTAGTGCCTAGTCATTATATGCTCCCGCTTGTCGGTTGAGCACTTTGGAAGAAAGGGTATTTGACAGCTGCTGCTGCTATAATGCTAAGCTTTTTGCAATGAATAGAGCACTCTTGCAGCTGATAATGCTTATATCACATATATAATACATTAAAAATTCCCTTTCTTTGTAGCATGTGTTGACAGTCTAGGGGTAAGATCAGTCAAGTTTTGACCCCCACTTGAAGCAATCGTGTGTCTAGCCACGCTAAAGAACTGTGATACAACGAAACAGTCTGTTTGTAGATGACTATATATATATATATATATATATATAATAAAAATGATAAAAAATACATAAACAATAAAAACAAGAAACTAAAAGAAATTGGTGAGACTTTATATCCAAACAAACACATAATTTTTGAAGAGGACAAAACCATCACACACTTTTACTTTATCATTAATTTTCCTTACATTCATATATAATCTTCCATGTATATATATATATATATATAAACACATACACACACACACACATATATATATATATATATATATATATATATGTGTGTGTTTTTTTATATATATATATAAGCTGAAACTATTCACAAATGGAAGATTATACATGTATTAATAAAATAAAAATGAGATAAAAATCAATCTATCATTTCTTTGTTTGAGGGTAATATTTTAAATATTGCTATTTTATTCATCTATACTAATACTGGAAGTGTGTGTGTGTGTGTGTAACAATTCCATTCAATGCCCACTGGTATAATTTTTATTTTTTCAATGGAAGTGGGGGTTGTTTATGGGTAAATCGTGCTGAAAATACCAGTTCTTGTTTGATTACTGAAGTTAAGCAGTATTAAGCCCAATCAGTACTTAAATGAGGTGACCACTTGGGAACACCCAGTACTTGTAAGCAACCTCTGACAATCTAAAATATGTTTTGCCTTCAAATAACCCCAAAAGGTTTATAAGCTAGAAAATAACAAATCAATCAACAACCCCAGTTTTAACATGACCATCAACAAGGCACAAGAGTAGTTTCTCAAGAGTGTTGACCTCAATTTCTCTTTTCTATGCTTTTCCCATTTGCAGAATTATGTTGTCCATTCTAGAGTTTGTTTCCTAAACAACCTTTATATATTGGCACCTCCTGGGAGAAGTTATAACAATATTATGATCCCAGAAGCCTTGTCAACCTTTAAAGAATTACATCAGTTGTCTTGTTTTGTGCATCATAATATTTTTTGAGTAACACCTATTTTTCCATATGTAAATAATTTTTTTTTTATTTTATTTGCTGTGTTATAGAAAAGAAAATATATTAAAGAAAATGTTTTTTTCCTATGCTGCCATATTTTGAAGTTATTTTGCTTCCCAAGGAATGCTAGATAGCCCTGCTAATTTCCGTTGTCTACCTAGTCTTTTGTTAAAATAAAAAAAATACAGAAAAGTACTTAGAATATTCTGTGAAGCATTGTATGAAAACTCAAAAATTGAACTGTGACGTAATATCGATCTTCCTATATGCCGGTGAGTGCAGGATAGTTTCCTCACAGATGAGGAGGAGAATTGAAGCAACAGAAATGTGGTTCTGGAGGAGGAGGAGAATACTATGGACAGAGCATGAAAAATACACTTAGGATCAGAAAGAGTTGAAATTTCTGGGACCCATAATGAAGAAAGAGGACTTTGAGAAGTTGACACTCACAGGGCAGATCAAAGGCAAAAGGGACAGGGAAAGTCATCAAGTAGCCAACCTAACGAGCTAGTGTAAAATCGATGACAGAACAGGGATTGAGTGACTGATTGATTTGTTTTTATGGCTTATTAACCCTTTGTGGGTTTAAAGCCAAAACACATTTTGGATTGTAAAAATATTTTTTTTTTTTTTTGCAAATGAATATTCCATTAACAATGTTCTGGGGATAACAATAATTTTTTCTATTATTCAACTTATAGCTGGGGGTAAAAGTAGATTGATGCCTTTCCCAAGGGTATTTGCTCATGTTAAAAATTCAACTAGAATTCAAGCTCGTTTCTTTGATTTCTCATTCTGAGCCGCTATCCATTACCCCACCCACACACCTGCAGAATAGAGAGTGAGAGATATAGGAAAAAGACAAACATGGCTAAGAGATACAAAGGATAGGGTATTGAGGAAAGCCTTGATTGGCCGCATCATGAAGGGACACAACCCAATAGAAGAACACAACCCCAATAAAAGAAACAATTACTTTCTGTTTTCAGCAGGGCTAGGATTTCATTGGTGTAAAGATCATGATTAAAGCCCGGAATTCTGGCAAGCTCTCTTACTATGTTGGCAATTTTGCAACGAACCATAGCCTCTTTCTCTCGTGAGAAATGGTCAAGCAGTTCTCGTAAAACAGCAGAGATATTTTCGCCATCAATGGGAAGGCTTTCCTCAAGTTTCAGCAGAATTTGTAGACATTCCTGAGAACTTGTGGCTGACTGGAGATTAAGTTCAATAGCAGGTCCAACTGGTTTCTTTACTAAACGAAGAAGTTTCAATGGTCTTGATTCTTCCTGTACTCAGATGAAACAAAAAAAAGAAAAAAATGATACACATATTAATATTAACACCGGATTATATATCTTACTGTTCTTTCTTTTTATTTATATATACATACACATATTAATAAAAATAAAATCATTTTTTATCTTTTTTTTTTCAGATTAAAAAAATTAACATACAAAATTATCTTCAATTTTTCGATTAGATAAATTCTTTTTCTTTAGTTGAAAAAAGTGGAAATTTAAAGAAAATAAAGATGATCAACAAAGTAGTGTTTATAACAGATCCTTTTAATAATTATTATTTTAAAAATTGACTGTAAATAACATTATACTATTTTTAACATAAAAATTATCTCTGGCTTTATAACTCAAAACATTTTTAACATTGTTCCTTCATAATGATCAAGTTTTATTTCAACATAAAAACAAAACAATTTGCATAAAATGAAATAACTTGTTTAATGACAACTTTTGAATTCTTAAGAAAATGGATTGATTTTTAATAGGTACCTCCAAAATCATGCACATTTTCAACATGTAAAGAAAATAAAAGAAAAACGATACCACATTTTTAATAAATTACCAAAGCTCAAGAAATTTTCAGCAATTATTCATTAATATCTTTATATTCAGTTTTTGTTCTCTTTTTAAGTTTTGTGGAAGTATGTTTTTAGGTCAGTTTCAACCTTGCCTTTTACTTATTCTTATGAGTGTATTTTAGATGATCCCAATTTCTACATTTTTATAAAGCTACCCCCATATATATATATATATATATATATATATATATATATGCTCAGCTATCTATGGTCATCAAGAGTTCCATCTACCCAATTTCACTCACAAGGCTTGGGTCAACCGTGGTATGGTTGCACAGAGCCACAAGTCATCATGCCCAAGAGCTTGAGCATGCTGGTCTGTTGATCACACTAGATAACATGCTCTCTCCCAGAAACTGTAACTAAGGTCTGCTCAGCATAGTTGCAGTATAAACCACAGGTGGGCTCTGTGGGGGTTGAGTAAACACAAATGTGCGTGAGCAAGCGTCTGCAATAAGGATTGGCTAGCCACCCTAGTAGACGGTATCCTCAAATACAAGTGGTCAGCTAATATATATATATATATATATATATATATATATATATATATATATATATATATTGTTTATACGTTATTTTATTAGATACATTTTATTTAAGTAAATGCTCTGTTTATTAATTACATTTACTGGCCTGAATGTTTGTGAAATTTCATAGACAATATGTGCTTCTCTGACAGGAATCAAACCTGTAACCTCAATGGGAATTATTATTTGATCTGATGTGCTGTTAGCCATTCAGCCACAAGCAAGCATCGAAGATTTGTTGTTTATAAACAATAATTTGAATTTTGCTAACCAGACATTTCTTTGTGCTAAAGGGTTAAGCATATCAGATCAAATGATGGTTCCCATTGGGATCAGAGATTCGATTCCTGCCATAAATGTATAAACAGACTTAATCCATTTCATTATATATATATATATATATATATATATATATATATATAAGTGTGAGTACATTGAAAATATGGGCCAAAATCTTAAGAAAAAATTCAAGAAAACTAAAAATTATTTTTTGTGGAGAGTTGATAATAACTAATTTTAATAATATACTGCATATTTTTATTTTCACAGTAAAAATAAATCACATATATTTGTTCATAACAAATTGACAGGTATTTTTTAAAGTACGATTTTAAAACTATTTCAGATCTAAGTCATTGCTGATAAAGTTGATATAAAATAAAGATTTGTTTGAATAAATTGAAAAATGCATAGTTCAGTGCCATTTTCAAGTGTGAATGTTTTTTCAAAATAGTTTTTTATTTATTTTTTTCATTTTTACAACTATCTGATTTTTTATTCTATAAAAGATAGAAAATGAAAATAAAAAATAAAATTCTGAATTATGTCCTATGACATAAAATAAAATATTAAATAACAACCTGAAAATTATTGAAAGTTTTGACCAATTTATTCATGATGATAGTATTTTTGAGTGTTTCACAAAGTTTTTGGTGTCATTTGGAAATATATGGTTAAAGTGTTATAACTGGCCTGAAAAATATTTCCACAAGGTTTTCTATATTTTATAGAAAATAAGCTTCCATGTTTTATGTTGCAAATTTTTGAAAGTAGACAGAGTTGTCACATGGTAATAATTGTTTGACCTTTGTGTTGACAAGAGAGGGCATACACATACTCTGGTGGTGAAAATGTATTTTTTGTTATATTTTTTGCAAAGTAAAAGTAATATTTTTACAATATTTAATCGACTAATGCATAAATTTACTATTGTTCTTGTAAAATGTCTGGGACATATATTGAATTTTAAAGCTTTCTAATTTCTCTCAATTGCCAATCTTACTGGGGGCGGAAATGAGTTTGTTTACTTCTCTGTTTTAAAAATGTCTGAAATATTTTAAGGACCTAGTTTTTAATTTTCTTTTTTTTTTTTTTACGGATTTAACATTAACCTAGGCTATTGACTTACAAATAAAAGCACAATTTAACTTCAAAGGAAACATATTTAAAATGCGGTTTTTAGCTTTTATTTTTAGAAAGTTCGAGGAGGTACCAAACAACAGGTTTTCCTTAGTTTATTTTTAAATTTATGAATCGTCCACGCGTTTCAAATTTGACTCTCCAAATTCTTGTCTTGAGGATATTTCTTAAATTTTTAACAAATAAATAAATAAATAATAATAGCAAAAAAAAGTTAAGTCCGTAAATCGTCTTTACTTTAATGTCAATTTCAAATCAATGATGAAATGATGATTGAAATGAAACCATTGAGGAAAATTCCGTATCTCAAAATTGCAACGGATAATAAAATTAAAATAGTACACCGACCGTAAAGAAAAGTAAAAACAAAAAAATCAGTGGACTTTAAATTTTTCCTAAATATAGTTTTATGCCAAAGTGAAATTAAGCCTCAATACATATTGCAATTATATTGAATTGAATGTAAAAATAAGTTTTGAAACTGAACGAGGCAAAATAACTTAATGTTGTTGTTGTACTATTATTATGAAAATATTAGTTTTTGTTTTGATTGGGATAAGACTTGCTTAACCGATCTATGCAGGAAATTGAATTTTCCAGCCAGATTATATTAATGTTCCTTAGCGATTTGTATACAAAAGAAAATGTTATTTTCATTGCATTTTATAATTTTATTTCTGTTTTTGCGTTTTATTTTTTTGAGTTTGTTTATTTTTTCTACAGATGAACAAGTGCAAGCAAAACATTTAAAATGGACTTATTTATTATGACATGTCTAAAAAGTTTTTTTTCCTGTACTTTTTCAATTGTATATCCAATCGGCCCCAAAAAGATAATAAAAGTTGCCTTTATCACAGATCTTTCAATTTAAAAAAAAAAAAAACAAAAAAAAACAGATACTTTTATTTTGCTATTTTGATGCAAGCACGGTCGTTGATTTACAATTGTTATTTAGAATAAATACATTTTGCCTAAGTCAATAGAACCGGAATTCAAATAAAAACAATATTTCCGAGAGATGGCATTTTCTTTTTCTTTTTTTACCTGAATAACTTGACTAAATTCCGCCAAAGCACGTTTTTTCAGCAATGCCGCCATGTTTAGGGTCGGCACAACAATCAAGTCAAAAATTTCCGGAAGCGGAAGTTCATGCATTTCAAATACCGGTGAAGTAAATAATTTGTCTCCTCTCTAAAGATTTCTGCATTTTTTAAAATCTTTTCCTTTATTATTCTAAGAGGTCTTGAGCGATTTTTCCACTGTATTGTTGTCCACTTTAATGGGGCCGTTGAACAATTTTGTAGCAATTCAACATCAACTTGAGATTTTTCTTGTTAAAAATTTGAATAAGTTAACATTTTTGATACATTCAACATTAATGAATTTTATATAATGTTTTTTTTTTTAAACCTAAAAATTATTGCTCATGCTAAGTTTTATCATGAGCAATCATTCATAAGTTTTTAACTTTTTAAACAAAAAAATAGAACCCAGAATGATATCGAAATCGACGAAAAATCCTTTAATAGCTAGTTGTGCGTTGTTTAATTTGTAATGTATTATAAATGTAGGTAGAAAAAAAAAAAAAACAAATGTTGATAACATAGGGTCACAAAGCACTACCCAGGACCCCTAGGCTTGGGCCCCTGGGTCGGGAGGTTCAAGTGAATCAAGAGTAATGGACACCGACCCTGACTTTACTATTATTTATGAAATTTTCTTCATTCCAATAAGAGATTTTATAAGTCAGTTTGTTTAACGTTAACAAGTCCCTTTGTTGTTGTTTTTTTATATCAAACTTCTATGTCTGTATTTCTGAGATGAGGTATTATTGTAACTATTTACATTTTTCGGACTGTTGTCCTCATCTTTGTTGTTATATTCACTCTGGCCATCTTCATGTGATATACATTGAAATTTCGAACTTCATTTAGTCCATTGCGGTAGCTTGGTCTCTAGTTCCACATGCTTTGTCTTTTCTGAATGCTCCAGTTTCAGTTATTTCCCTTTAGTAACTCAACTCTCCAAGTCTTTGTTCACCTCTGGTATTGAACTTACAACCTTTGGAATCAAATCACTAGATTACTTCAACCAACGTTTTTATCCGTTGGGATAAAATTATTTTACAAAAAAACATCTCTTTTGATTCTGACCAATATGAACTAATCATCTTTACCATTTTTTTAGATCAATAATTTTTCTACTTTGTACAAAAAATCCGTATCTCATTCCATTTTGCTAGAAAATGTATACAATGCACAACTGATGGTTTCTGGTAATTTCAAATGACAACAAAGATTAACTCCAACGAGATGTCTTGTAATTTTTCATGCCAAAAAATTGGAGGTTAATGGACCTTACTATTTGATATTAATCTTGGTGCAGGCACAGAAAAAGAAACTGTCAATATTAGTAATTATTAGAATAAAAAGACTATAAAAAAAATATCTCAGTTCAGCGATTCATTCTCAATAGAGTGGGAGGTTGAGGCACTTAAAATTTGACTATATAGAAATATTCAACTCATCTACAAAAGAAAAAAAGAATGCAAATAAAGTGCAAATCTAAAATCTTTATATTATACAAAAACTACAAAAAATTTTTTAGTCAAGTCTTTTAAGAAGACTGATTTGATTTAACAGGAAATAGACTAGATACTAAAAGTTCTAAAGAGTATGAAATGTCTAAATGTGCATTATTGAAGAGTATAAAATTTTTGCAGGTTATTAATTATATATGTGTTTTAAATACTGTATAATTTTTATCTTTCTCTATAAACCATAATTAAATTTTATATGAAATTGACATCCACTCAGTAGAGATATTATATTTAATTTTATTAATCATTTTTCAATAAAAAGGTTTTTTATTTTATCGAAACTAATTAACAAAATATCTTCTAATCTGTCCACTATATTTTGAATTTGTTCATTTTACCAAATCTTAATTTATACATATTTAAAATTTTTCTACACAAGTTTTCTGCTGACATGAAATGGAAAATTTATTGAATCAATTGTTAGGTCTACTGGTTGGAAAGTTGGTTCACTGTGTTGTGCTTTTTTCACTCGAATCTACCTTCTTACACATTTCTGCTATTGTCCATGTATTGAATATTGCTGTCACATCTGGTCTCTTGCTTCGGCAATATATTTGGAGATACTTGATAAAATATAAATTAATGTTTAATAATGTTTTTTTTTTTTTTCTCATATTTTCTCAGTGGCTGTATTTCTTTGCTTGGGGTCAAAGGATTAAAAAATATAAAACTTTAAAGAAAAACACAATAGATCAGTTTCGGATGAATTTAATAAATAACTTAATTTTTAATTTTCTAATAGTTTTATTAAATAACTGCTTTCTCTTATAGATTGATTAAAACATTTTAAAATTCCAAAAAGACAAAATAAAAAATCTGTTAACAGTAACACCAAGCGAGGTTAAAAAACGTAATCACTCATGTAAGGGAGATAAGTCCGTTTTAGTGAGTTTAAAAAAAAAATAAAATGGAGTCTTCGAGCACTGACTTTCCTAGCGAGTATTTTTCATCTGATTGCGTTGTTCAAGCGGTAAAGGAAGATTTTCAGTGTTTGTTAAAAAAATTCGATGCATGTGGTTCCTTAGAATTTCCGCCTTTTGCCTTGATATGGTCCTCTATGAAAATGTCCATGATCTCATCTGGAAGAATGACCGCCAGAGAGTCCCGACAGGTTTGAAGCAATTATTTTTATTTAAATGATTCAAATTATATTCTTAAATTGTTTTAAATTATTTCATGTATGAAAAATACTTTTATTATAAACTTTTACTTTGATAAAGTCTCGGTAAAAAGCAAATATAAAATAGTTGTGACAAATTTTAACTTTTTTTTTCCATGTGTAAGGTTCACAGATAGAGAAAAACCGGGTCTATTTATTTTCGACCCTTCACCATAAACTAACGTTCATGATAATTAAGTACGGAAGCCTTAAAAAAAAAAGGGAGGGGGAGTTGCATTTTACTACTCTCATAAAAATGACCTTAGGGTCTGAATGCGGTGTTTTCTTCGTGGATAGACCCACACCACAAAAGAAGTAAAAAAAAAAAAAATCCTATCTCCAAATCCTGGTAGTGAGAAATTAATGAAATAAATTTTACAAGTTATTATAATTTAATATTTTGGTCTGATAGTAGTTAGTTAACTAAATTCTTTTCTCTATTGCTGATTGCTTTATTTCAAGCTTTTTTAGCGACATTAACCTCTCTTTCTTTAGACAAAAATGCACAAACAAATTCAAATATGACAACTGCTGGAACCCAAGGAACAAAAATATGCAAGAAGAGTGACCACAGAAGAAAGGTTTGATTAAATAAAAAAAAAAGTGTTTTGAATCTACAAGATCAAAATAACTCTCTACTACACTGTTAACAAATTGAAATCACGAATTGTGTTCTTGGTCTTTAAAAAAAGAACATGCAAAAATTCATCTTTATTTTCTTCAACATTCCTGCTAAAATGAATTATGGACATTCTTTTTCTTTTAGGGTAGCGACTAAAAAACAAAAGAGGCCCATCTCCTAATCCGTTTTATTTTTATTTAAAAAAAAAAAAAAGAAAAACTAGTACAAAAAATATAAGCATATTAATAAGAAGAAAGATTTGATAACCGATTTATTTTAAATCGAGTTATTTAATAAAGTCTTTTCAAAGTTAAAATTGTCTTTTTATAAACAATTTTGGGATTTTGATTAGTACTCGAGTTGCTTAAATTTGTAAGAATTAGTCCTAAAGTTGCTTAATTTTTCTATGCTTGGGTTTTATTAATAAATAGAAAAACTGACTATTTCAATAAAACTAGAGTAATTGATAGAATTCTCGAAAACTTTATAAAACATTTAATAACACTTAATGTTACATTTTTCGGTTTTTCTCCACTTGAGTTGCTAGAAGCAAAGCCTCACTAGAATCAATAGTGGAGTTGCTTGCTTTTAGTCAAATTTGAATACAGTTGTTGTTTATAAGTAACTGTATTCAAATTAATAAGGAAAAATCTTCATGAAGCAAAGTTGTTGATAAATACACGATTTTGTTTATAAACAAAAAATATCGTGTATTTAAATTATTAATATCGACAACGTTGTTTGGAGTTAGAATTTTTGCTTCATTATGATTTTTCCTTATTTAAAAAATATTCAAATAAAAAATAAATAAATTAAAAACAAATCGCGGCAATTTTAACGACACGATGTTGAAAAAAACTTAATTTCTTTGGTGTGTCACATTTTTAAGTTGTACGCGTTTTTAGTATACATTCCCCTGGGGATTATGTTTTGTTTTTGTTTTTTTTTTGGGGGGGGTGCCTACTCAAACATGTTTACCCGCCAAAATATAAATGCCGTATTAAAAACAATCCATAATTGCTTCTAGCTATTATTACTGATGTCTCTCTGAAACAAAACAAATGAATCTAGTCAAACTTCTGCTTGCACTACTAGAGTAAATTTGACAAACCTGCTTGTTTCCCTTGTTATAGCAAACACTATTTGAATCCTCCTATAACTAAGTTTACAATACATGTTTTAATATTAATTAAACTTATATTATTTATATATATCATATTAATATTTAAACTTAATATAATTATGTTTATATGGTTTAAGTTATAGTTTTATGTTCTCAATCTTCTATTGGGAACATAAAACCAATGAGTTTGTGTGGAAAAGGTTTGAAAGTTTTGTGGACCACCAGAAACCTCTTCTCAACACTGTCAAACAGTAAAAAAAAAAGACATGTTTTGGACACATTACAAGGTATGACAGCCTGTGCAAGGCACTGTTAAAGGCGGACATAGGAGACGACAGTAACACAAAAACTGGTTGGACAATGTCAAACAATGGACATGTATGACTATACCAGAATTTGAAAGACTATATGCAAAGTGTCACTTTTCATGGGAAACTAGTTGTATCCCTGGGGAATTTACCTGCATCCTTTAAGATTTTTATGCATCAAGGATGCAGGATGCACACCTATCAGCATCTCTGATAGTTGAGAGAACCAGTTATGAGCTTTGGTGGTTACTTTGTAATTCGCCTATGTTTGAAATTATTGAATCACTAATAAAACCTGATGTTATTACATTTTTGCACCCCCCAGACACTTGTGCAACCAATGGCAAAGACACAAATCAAAAATCAATGTAATGCATGGCTCAAGAAATCGTGACATAATGGATGATTATTTGGCAGTTTATATCGTATCAAAGATTCAAAGACTAAGAATTTTATAATTTTTGGCATCAAATCGGCACATATAGATATTCTATTTATTATCAATGGTTCTTGAATTTGAAAACGCTTTTCACAATCTTTGGGGCTTGAATTTGTATTAAACTGAAAACACCTCTGTTGACATTGATTTTCTTGATTGAAACCATAATAGTTTCTAGAAGATTCTATTTAAATGTCATAATGCAAATTTTAATGTACAGGAAGTAAATATATGATTTTTAGGGCTTGGGAGTGCAACAGTATGATTGCAATGTAAAACCTACATTTTGTAGATGTATACATGTTTCATTAAAATTCAACAGGCAAGGACTTTTTTCTTTTTTTAATGATTTTTCTTGGAATTACGGTCAGCAAATGTAAGCAGCATTGAGTGTGGTGAGTACCTAGATTCCTACTTGGTGCCATTAGCTTGGATATGTGGGTGGTGTAATAGATAATGGCTCAGAATTGTTAATTGGAGAGCTGAGTTCCAATTCCACTAGGGTTCCTTATATTCACTTACATGCAAATACCCTTGAGAAAAGTATAAACCCACCCCTTCCTCCTTTGTGTCACTAAATCATTATCTCAAAAAAAAAAAAATTCTTACAATCTAAAAATATTGGTTGGCTTTAAATAAACTTATAACAGGTTGATAAGCTGTAGAAAATCAATCAATGCTAATTGTTCTTGTTTACTTTGGTCTCACAGAAATATTTTCCAAATTGTAATTGTTATGTACCATACATGTGAACACTAATGGGTATGTCCCAATCCTCATAAATACATTGGACGCTATTGTAAGTGGGGGTAATATGCTGTCTATATAGTCGGCTACTAATAGTGGTTTACCTACTTCATGCCGCTGGCAAGTATTATATTTTGTTGATGTTATAAAGATTACCATTTCATTTCCAATCTCCGTTTTGGTTATTCCTCATTGAGTAACCTTTCCTAGGTTACAACAGTAATCAAATTCTTTCATCCATGCTTCTGGTTATATTCAGCATCTGGGGTTATATAGATATGTAATATTTTCTATATTCAAGTACTTTTAAAACTGCATATACCAATTGCATGGACTGACTATTTAATACATTGTTTCTTCTTTGAAGTCAGATTTTATATTACAAGAAATAAACTAGATACAGGAAGATTTCTTAATGACTCCTCTTGCTACTTTAACTTGGACTGTTACTCTAACTGTTACTCACACTGCTCCTTGATATAGTGTCATTATATTTATATTTCAGAAATTGTTGAGGTGTTTTACTTTTTTTTCTTCTTCTTTTTTTTTTTTTTGTGGTAGGGTAGTCAAGTCTTTTAAAATAACAGTTTTCATTTGACAGGAAATAGACTAGATACAAAAAGATTTCTTAATGACTCTTCTTACTACTTTGACTTGGACTAATACTCCAACTGTTACCAGAACATGTACTATTGAATGAACTGGCTATTGGATACATTGTCCTTCTTATTTATACCTTGTTTGTAGACATAGTAGTAGACACAAAAGAGCATTTTCTTTGGTTTCACAAAAATAGATATTGTCCAAATAGTTTTAATCAAATTCTTTCATCCATGCTTCTGGTTATGTTCAACAGCTGAGATTATATAGACATGTAATATTTTCTATATTCAAATACCTTTAAAATTGCATGTATGTATGTTTATAGATATTTATGAAAAAATAAGAAACATGCATGACTTGAAATTGTAAGGAATTATCCTTACATACACTACAATTTAAAAGTTTGAGGTAACACCTGGTAATTTTTTAAGTTGGCCCAAAAAGTAGTTGTTTTGTACTTTAAATAAGAGAAATTTCATTATGACAAAAAGAAAAAAAAAGCAATTTATGATTAAATTTTGCGCTCATCAAAATATCCTCCTTTAGCTTTGATTATTGTGGCACACACTTTTGGCATTCATTGCAAAAGTTTCCAAAAATACAAGTTTGATAATTGATTCCATTCTTTTTTCAAAGACTCTACGAGTTCTTTTTTTTTTTTTTGTTCCACTCATGCTAATTAGGGGGGTCTTCAAACTTTTGAACTGTAGTGTACATTACACAGGACAAGTGATATAGCTTATACAACACTTGGATATTAAAACCTAAAATTCAGTAATCAAAATAACAAAACTTGATCTCTCTGTATTGGAATCAACAAACATTTTCCAGCAAGAATAATTCAAAATTTCAAATAAATACAATTTCTATTTCTAACTAATCAAAAGCTTTCCCGACTTCTTTGTTATGTCCTAGAAAAATCATCCAATGTAGTTTATATTTGATGGCTAGATTGATTGATAGATTTGTTTTTTATGGCTTATCTAGTCTTTTGTGGGTTTTTTTTTTTAACAAGGAGTGAATATTGCATTAACAATTTCTTTTTGTTTTCTTTTTGAGATATCTATGATTTTTCCAAACACTAGTCATACTATTTAGCCCATAACTGAGAGAAGAGATGGATTCATGCCTTTCTGAAAGGTATTTGTGTCTAAGTGAATGTAACCAACTCCCCTGGAATTCAAACTCGGTGCTCCAATTTCTTATTCATAGCAACTATCAAATTACATCATCTGAACATCCGAACTTACAGCACCTGGTATTCCAAAGCGCTTTCATCCATTTAGGTATTGATCAGACTCTCAATGTCTTTGATGGCTGAAATGAGATTTTTTTTTCCTTATTCATTTGTGCCAATGTGAACACAACAGACTAGGCACAAATTTGAACTTATACTCTTTCCAATTTCACATTCAGTGCCCTTAACCATTACTTTATATACACACATCCTGTTATTAACAAACTCAAAAGAAATATTAAATCTTATGTTTTGTCCTGTTTTTTTTCTTTGGCTTATTTTTATTTGCTTCTAGTTTGTTGAGGAATGTCTGCTGATCATTGTATCCTGTTTTCTTCCACAACAAAATTTTGAAGCCAAAACTGGTGCCTTTTATCTAATGTACAGCTTTTATATGACTCAGCCAGTAACACCAAAATCTAAGGTAAGACATCTCCTTTCAATAACCATTTTTTTAAAAAAATATTGTATAATTATGGAGATTGGGTTTTATATAAAAACGTATGTTACCTAATAAACAGCCACTTTCTGTAAGGAAATTTCTGCTGATGTTTACCTGCAAAAAATAGTATAAATCAGTTTTAAAAAAACCCCCCAAAAAACTGACTGTACTATCAAGGGTTTAACCCATTAATACCCACTGCAAAGTCAATATTACAAATTATCTGCACTTTCGCCATAATGTAGCTTTAGGTTTGTCACACTGTTTTCTGCTCATGCATGCTTATGGTTGGTACTATTGTAGTCATGTGATCAAAGTTTGAGCTTGATTGCACCAGTTTTCTTGTTGCTTTTACATTGTAAACATGGCTGTTCAGGTAGCAGTGTGCACCAAGGAGGAACATGGAGCACTGGAGATTTTTTTCATTGGATGTGCACTTTTTTTTTTTTTTTTTTTTTTTTTTTTGGCAACACATTGCTCAAACTTTGTCAGATAAAGCAAATATATACAGTGGAACCTTGGGTTATGAACGTTTCTTATTACAGACAAATCGGTTTATGAACTAATTTTATGAACATAAAATGTCTCTGGTAACGAACTGTGTCTTGAGCAATGATCACACAGTACCAATACCATGTCTCCCTTTAGAAACATTTTAAAACGGACAAAAATAAATCTCATTCGGATAATTTTCAATGAAACAGAGGCCCAGTAAGACTCAAGCAAGATTCAGTGGTACTAAGAGACAGAAAACAGAGAGAGTAGAAACCCCAGAATGACAATTACCTGATGTTTTTTTTTTATGGTAGACACCTCTGCCTTCAAACAATACTATCTCTCTTCACTTTCCTCTCCTTCTCTGCTTTCCACTTATGCCATTGTCCCTGCCCCCCTTACAGGTATGATAAAATTAAATTCAGTTTTCATCTATATTTCATCTGTTTAATATTATGTTTATCTTTTTTCTGTTAGATTTAATGATATTCATTGGTCTTTTATATGGACTTTTGTACAAACTACTGTTGTAAAAATTTAAATAAGCAATCATCTGGGGTCCAAGAACGGATTCATTCATTTTACATTGATTCCTATGGGGAAAATAATTTTGGTTTACAAACATTTCAGGACATGAAGGGCATTCAGGAACGAATTAAATTCATGAACCGAGGTTCCACTGAAATTCAAAATGTATATAAAAAGAAATAATTCAATTAGAAATTAATGAAAGAAAAAATAAATTGATGTCATTTAATTTTTTTTTATTTTTTTATTTTTTTTAAAGATCCGGATAACTATTAAAGACTGGGCCACACTTAACAGTTTTATTGAGGAAGCTATTTCCAAAAAGCTTCATGATGTTGAATTTATCTTTCATAAACTTTGTTCATTGAAGGCCTTTCTCTATGTCGCCCCACCAAATGAAGTAAGTGTTTTTTTTATTTTCTACATATTGCCTTGAATTATTTGCTCCATATTTTTACTATTTAAATGAATAATGTGATTTTATTTGAAAGATAAAATATCATATTTCAAAATTTCAGTTTTTTTTTTGTTTTTTTTTTATCACTGCACTGATTGAATTAAAGCAACCCATTTAAATGTGTTTTGTATTACTTCCACTTTTATGAATGGATTAGCTAGTAAATCAAAATACTAGTCACTTGTCTCATTTAGGTAACCAATGTTCCACTGTACAACACTTTTTGGCACATCCAGAGTCTGAACTCCTGATCACCAGGTAACTAAACCAATGCTTTTATCCGCTAAGCCATGTGTCCTGCAGGAAACTTGAAGCCTTAAATGTAATATATACTCTGACTCAGAAGAAGAGGCCTCACAAGGACACATTAACTTTAAATAATTAACTGATATAAGATTTCTTCTAGTGTGGACAGCAGAATGAGAATAGTCTATCTCTGAATTGGATGAAGTGTTTGGTTTGAAATTCTTGAAAGTTTACCACTCTGACAGACACCTGAAAAAAGTGTGAGAATACAACAGATGAAATGCTGTGACTAAATCAGCACACTAGTCTGACTAAATCTGTCTATTACAAGAATAATTCCTTTCCTCAAAAACTAATTTTTGGTATTCATGCTTTGTTTTCACCCCCACTTTTTTATTTTAACAATATCTCTGAATATTTTCTTTTTAAGATGTCACAAGGTCAGTGTATTATTGATCCATCAGATGATGACGATACTTATATGGGCAAATTATTCAGTCAAAAGTCAACACTGGAAACCATTTTCTCCAATGACAATATTGAGGTAAATAAGTTGTGGCTTGTTTTTTATATTTCTTATTCCACCTACAAAATGTTACATATACTCATTTACCTGTTCTATTAAAAAATGACAGTAATATTTTTTTTCTTTAACCTGTCCTTATAAAATATCACAGTTTATATGGCTTTGCATTTTCTTCCTCATGTTCAGTACTTCTTTAATATTAAACTAAACAACATTCAGCAAACATGAACAAATATGCCCAGTGTCAAAAGGACAGTTTTTCCCATGACAACACTTTTATAACTACCTTCACTCTTCGGCAATGTTTATCATTTTAAAAAGTGATGACTATACATGTAATAAAACCTAAACAGTTTATATATTTTCTTTTTTCTTTAGAATTGACATCAAAAATAATAAACACTATTTATTTCATTGCTTAATGCTTATCTCAAGTGATTTGTTTTGCATTCCAGCAATTATCTGCTGTCCACAATCAGTATCAGGAAATGAAGTGTATTCTTTCAGGAATTGAAATGCCATCACCAGATTCTTCAATCAATGTGCTCGATGTAAATACTGCCACAAAGATTGCTGAGTAAGTCATTCGTAAAAGCAATTTCTCCATCCCACACAGTTTGGCAGCACAGAAACATGGCCGATTAATATCGATCCAAAATGCATTAGTTTTTTCAATTTGAAAGCATTCTTAAGTGAGCATAATTTATAAATACTTTCAACTAATATATATATATATATATATATATATATATATATATATTTGAAATTAAATTGTGCCCGTGTGTGTTAGTATGTGTGTGTGTGTATATATATATATATATATATATATATATATATATATATATATATTTGAAATTAAATTGTGCCCATGTGTGTTAGTATGTGTGTGTGTGTATATATATATATATATATATATATATATATATATATATATATATATATATATATATTTGAAATTAAATTATTGCCCATGTGTGTTAGTATGTGTGTGTGTGTGTATATATATATATATATATATATATATATATATATTTGAAATTAAATTTGCCTGTGTGTGTGTTAGTATGTGTGTATATATATATATATATATATATATATATATATATATATATATATATATATATGTGTTTTTGTGTAACACGTGCACAAAACACACCTCTTCATATTAATGCCTAATATATCATTTGATGACATATAACATCCCTTCTCATTTCCACAAGGAATTTTTTCCTTCATAACTCTTAATGAAGTTTTTCTTTTTGTTATTTCTCTTAAATCTTGGTCTGCCATCTATTTCACTAAGTCGGTTCTGCATTGTTTTTCACTGTTCTGTTTTCCTCATTATGTGCCCTAGAAATTTCAGTTGTTTCTTTTTTGTTTCTACTTTCTCTAATATCTTGATGTTGCTCACATGTTCAGTCCACGGTATGCTCAGCATCCTTCTGTAGAACCACATTTCTGTTGCTTCAAGTCCCTTTTTTATCTTCAAAGAGATTGTCCAGCATTCACTGCCATATAGGAGGACTGATATCACATAACAGTTCAGTACTCTTTTCTTTGTTTCTAATGAAATTTTTCTGTATCTTAATACTCTGCTTAGCTTTTGGAAGGCATCTTTGGCTATCCCATCATGCCTTCAGATCTCATCTGCACTTTACATCCTGTTTAAATAATTCTCAGATATTTAAATTTTTCAACTTGTTTGATTTTGGTATCTCTGATTTATAATTGTATGTTTGGCTCATCCTTTTGCTAACAACCATGCATTCTCTTATTGTAGTTGATGTTTAGTCCTTTTTCTCTCGCTTTTCTTCACAACATTCTTTCCATGTCTGCTATCAATACTGTCATCTGCATATCTTATGTTGCTAAGATTATCTGCCAATAATGAATCCTGATAGGACTTCTAATTCTCCCAGAATTGCTTCACTGTATAGGTTGAATAAGTCCAGTGAGAAGACACATCCTTGTCTTACATCCCTTTCTTTTTTCTGTATAACCACTAAATTCATTTTCTATTTATATGCAGGCCGTTTACTGCCTGTATAAGTTCTGGATTATTCTAATATCCTTCCCAAATATGTCAAAGTTACAAAGCAGTTCCATCAGTTCTTTGTGATGTACTTTATCAAACACTTGTGCATAATTTATGAAACACAGGTACACATCCTTCTGCATTTATATTGCTCTTTCTGATATTATTCTGAGCATAAATATTGCATTCCTTGTTCCAGTGTCTTTAATGAAGCCACACTGACCTTGTCCTATTTCCAGTTTGATTCTGTTGCAGGTTCTATTCATCAGAATTTAAATGATAAAGTTTTGTTATATGGTTCATTAGGCTGATTTGTCCAATGAAGTTCACATACTTTTGCATCTGGCTTCTTAAGCAGTGCTATGAAAATAGATCTTCTTAGGTCTTCCAGTGTATCACCACTGTTGGAGATTTAATTTATTATGTCTGTAATCTTTTCTATGCTAAAATCCTCTAAGGCTGTCAGAATCTCTATTACAATTCCATCTGGTCTTCTGTTCAATTTGGCCAGTGCAGATTCCACTTCAGATTTTAATATTTCTGGTCCTTCGATATTTCTGTGTATTACCAGTTGTTCTCCATCATCATGGAAGAGTTCTCAGATATATTAATTCCATTCAGTATTTTTTTCTTTCTCTAACATCAGCATTCTGAGCATTTATGAGTAAGCACTCATAAAGAAGATTACTTGGAACAAACTATAGAAAGTATTGTCAATCAAGTGGAAGCACTTCTAATGTCAAAATAATCAGAGCCTTGCAACTGATCTCTTCACTGACCAAGCTCTAACAGCCCATTAGAAAGCAGTGAACTGGCTTGTTACTTTCAATACCTCAAAAGCAAAGCTAGTAACATTCCATCATTAATCGAATCCTGAGTTTTCTCCAGTTACAATGTATTGTTGCAGCCTCAACAGGGCCTCCTGCTTTGAATGTTATTGGGTCTTGAGTTCATTCTAGACCTTGTAGAACTCTTATATCTATATGATCCATTGCTAAAGATGCTGGGGAAAAATGGTTGGCTCATTTACCAGAAAGTACCTGACTCCACCTGCCTTGCTTTATCTTTACAAGAGTTGGATTAGACTAAAAATATCATCATCATTATTTGATCATAGTCAGGATCATCAAGCAATGCAAATGATCCTTTCTTTAGCTGTATAGTATATGCTACACCAGGGCTACTTACAGTTTTTAATTCATAGTTACTTTCTCAAAGACTGATTGTCATCCAAGGCTATAGAACCCAGCCTGCAATTTGCCCGTAGCTGACCGGGGGGGTTGGAATGAGAAGAGGATTCATATATTTCTCAAAGGTATGAGTACATAAATTAATGTAATGGATCCGACTGGAATTTGAATTCAGCTCTCTGATTCTTCACTCTTAGACGCTATCCATTACTCCATTTTAACACCGCCATAGAGAACCATTTTTGTTTTCCATCAGCATCGCCAATGCTAACCTGCATTGCACTTTCTTGGTCTCACGTTCTCCACTGACATGAAGTGGCAAGATTATATTGAATCAATTGTTAAATCTTCTGCTAGGAAATTTGGTTCACTGTGTTATGCCAGACAATTTTTCTTGCCAGAATCCATCTTGCACATTTATATACCTACCATTCATCAGTGCATTGAATATTGGTACCATATCTGATCTGGTGTTCCTGCTGTATATCTCAAGATTGTCAATTAAATCCCAAAAAGGAGTCTGTAATGTTATCAGTCCTGACCTCTCAACTTTAGTCACATTCCCACTGCTGTGATGTGGCTTCCCTTTGTCTTTTCTACAAATATTTTTATTGAAGTTGTTCTAATGAGCCTTCCTCCTTAGTACCTGGACTGCATGAATTTAAATGTACTACTAAATGGCAACTAGATTTCACTCTTAAAATGGCTAGGCGTAACCTTCTGCTCTATTCTAATAGTTTCTTTTCTCGCCCGTGCAACTCTCTTCCAGTCTCTTGCTTCTCTGCCACCTACATTCTTTAAAAATTTAAGCGCCATGTCAGTTGCCATCTTCTGTCCTCCTGAAACTTGTTTTTTCATTGTCCTTTCTCCTCACTAAAGTTTTCTCATTTTCTTTCACTCACAGTAACACCTTGCATCCTAGTGGCATTATCTTCTTGCTTGGGGTGAAATGATTTTAAAAAAAGAAAACAAAACAAACGAAATCTTTTCACAACAGTCTAATTTTAGTAACTTATATGGAGTTTAAAATCAATATTTCAGCTATAAAAGGTGCAGTATCAATTAAACTTTGTGTGTAGGCTAAAAAGCCCCGCAATTTGCTCAGAATGTTAATTAATAATCTGTGCATTATTTTTCTTAGTAATAAAAATTATTTGAATCTCAAATATCAGGAAAATGTTTTAAAATATTTTAAATAGCTTTTATTTATTAACTTTTCCTTTTCTGGAAGATTTTTTTATACACAAGCTTTTTAATTTTAACTTTTTTTTTTTTTTTTTTTTTTTTAATTATTTTGTTATTTATGTCTAGAAACATTTGACTGTTCAAGACATTTAAAAAGTATTCACAAATTTCAAGATGAAACCATTTTTCTTAAGAATGTTTACATGAAATTAAACAATGATTTTTTTTATTATTTCAGTCTGATGAAAACATTTAAGAATGACCCACATTATCCTAGAATGGTAATTATTCTTATATCTTTCTTCCTAAAATTACTAAGGGAAACATAGATTTTTTTTTTTTTTGAAAAAAGAAAAAATGTTAAACATTTTCTTGAAAAAAGAAATAATAGTTAAGGATAAGTTTAAATACACACACACACATTTTTATATGCAGTACTTAGTGAAAAGTCCTCAATATCAGTGATAAAGATAACATATTCAATTGTATGGATATGAGTTTGTGAGCATATATATATATATATATATATATATATATATATATATATATATATAATCTTTGCTTTTATACTAATTATAAAGGGGCTCTCAAAAATTATCCAAATTTGTGATTAGAATTATTCATTGTTTTATAGGAATTAAAAGAAATACCTATTTTGTATTTTATACAAGTTATTAGAACTTTCTTTTTTTGCTGTCATATGCAGAGAAATGCAAACTATCATGCATTGACAACAGTTCTAAGTTTGGACTGAAGTTACGTTCTGAGAAAACAAAAATCCAAAAGATTGGGAACATAAAATATGATGACATTATACACTTAGAAGGATTCCACATTGAGGAAGTTGATAATTTCACTTACATTGGAAGCATTCAATCTAATTTTGGTGATATAATCACATAATCATACTAGAAAAACAAATGATTTTTTTTTTTCTACTGTCTTGTCTTTGAATAGTATTAATCTTCGAGTAAAGCTCAAATTATATAATTCTATTGTCCTCTCAACTACATATGTGCATAAAACTAGGAAATCCACCACAAAGGTCCTCTAACTCTTAGATGTGTTCCATTTAAGATGTCTTTAGAAAATCATAAAGATATCTTGAAGAGATGGAATGAGGAAGCAATAAGACATCAACATCACCGACGTGACGCCAACGTGGTCATATTGAAATGGGATGCTGATCTTAAAATTTCAGTTATCTGTTTTGATTAGTCTTTACTCTTATGTCCATCGTCTTTTCATGTTGAATTAAACATAGTCTAATGTTAATTATGTTTTATGAATATGTCCTGAAGATGGTCTACTAGACCGAAACATCCGACATTGACATTATATTAACATTAAAACAGCATAATTGAATATTAGGATTTTTGTTTGTTTTTTCCGTATATTTTTCTTCATATATATATATATATATATATATATATATAATGCCTGTAACTGTACTTTTTGATAAATCCTTATCTAATGAAGAATGATTTGATTTTAATTACTGTTTAATGTCAATGTTATTAATGTATCATTCAAAGATAATAAATTTTCTTATATTGTAAATACATAGAACTGACTTCTTTTTGTTTTAATCAAAATAATGCAATGCAATAAAATCTTTCCAGAAGAGATTTTTTTTATCTTAATTCTTTTCAAATATAGTATCATGAATTCATATGTAGCTAAGTTCACTAATATCACCTTCAGAAAAAACCTTAATCTTCATTAAAAGAAATTGATCTGTATTATTTTGCTGATTATCTGTATTTAATCAATCAATATTGTCATTTTTTAGATAGAAACTGAAACTAGCTTTAGAAAAACGTTTTAATTATTAGCTGAGATAAAGTTTGTTTCATTTTTAAACTAATTAATTTTTTTTTTTCTTTTTAATTGTAAAAGACACAAACTGACCAGAATCCGAAAAAAGAAGTCAATGTAAGTATTGTTTTGTGTTGAATTTTCAGAATGAAAATTTGCTTGCACCTCACCAAATTTTATGTGATAAAAAGTACATTTAAAAATAAAAATAAAAAAAGCGAGGATTAAAGGGAGATAACCGCAGATTCGTAGTCGGGTTATTATTGATAACTTTCACCTCCAATTTGTGGAGCAGAGTTACTATATTCTTAATACTTGATATAATGCAAAAACATCACATTGATAAAATCAGTCAATTATTATTTATACTGGGTCTCATGCCTGCAATTACAAGTAATCCATAATAATATTTTACATTTTGAAATCATATTTACTTTTGGCGTATGAATTTTTTGAAACTGTTTGTAAATCTTTGATTGTCTTTCAATCATTCCGTCTCACTTGCTATCCTCTTCTGCTGCACCTATGAGGCACGACGCACCACACCATTTGGGAACCACTGCTTTATCCTTTATACAAGGGATGTCCAAAAAGGCACATACTAATCCGACATATTTATTACTATGCAAATAAAAGATTGTACATGTTATCAACATTACTATACTGTATTTCAACATAGTCTCTGTCAAAATTGTTGTACTTATCCCATCAATACACAAGTATACAAATAGCCTGTTCAGAAAACATAGCACCAAGTAATGAAAGACATTCTTGCAACTCTGCAATGACAGCATTATCTGTGTGGAACTGCTTCTATGATAAATAACATCTGAAGAAGCCAAGGTTGATTCCGTGACCTGAAATTATCATCATCACCAAATTCAAAGTTCTGCAGTCATCAAAGAAATTGATGGCAACTGTATTTTGGGATGCAAATGCTATACTGTTTGTGTGTATATATATATATATATATATATATATATATATATATATATAGATGTATTTCAGCAGCAAGAATTCTCTCAAACAATAATATGGACAAGTTCTGGCTATGAATTTTTTTTATTAAATCTTAAAAAGATTTTGTTTTATAGGTAAATTTACCAAAATTCATAACTGATATTTCATAATTTTTTTTATAAAAAATTTGAGACAGAACTTGTCCATATTATTTAACAAAACTTGTTTGATATATATAAGCATTTATCACACTTTTTAAGTGAAGTGTATTGTCAGAATATCTATTCATCTCAATCTCTATCATTAAACAGTGAAAATAATGACCGTGAAAAAGCCATAAACGACACATTTCCCCCAAAAGTGTCTACTCTCTCCAGCTTCCTCAAGTTAGAATGGGAGAAAGACAGAATATGTAAAAATGTGTTGTAGTTTCTGAAGATAAGTGGACACCATAAATCAAATTACCTTATCATAGTGTCTGACTGCATGTTCACACACACACACACACACACATATATAAGATAAAAGGAAAACTTATCTCAGATGATGCATTTTGTCCTCTGAGATTTTATAAAGGCAAATGCAAGGATTTTATTTTGTAACACGTATTTATATACAAGAGCAGAAATGTTATACAGTTTCAAATGTTTCAATGTAATATATATAAAATATGTGGTGCAGTTTAATTTATATTACAATGAATCATTCATACAGAAAGTAAATTAATAAAGTTAATGATATAAAATGGTGAATTCGCATATTTTTTAAAATTTAGCGAAAGTGAATTTGCCATTTTATATCATTAACTTTATTAATTTATTTTTTGTATGTACAATTCATTGTCAATGTGTGTGTGTATATATATATATATATATATATATATATATATATATATATATATATATACTAGCAGTAGAGCCCAGCGTTGCCGGGGATATAACAATAAGAGATAGATCAAGTATTGACTATCATAAAGACTGAAAAATAAAATTGACAAAGATTATTGTTTAAGGTTGACGGACATGCATGTCTTAATTATTTTTTTTTTTTTTTTTTTTTTTTTTTGAATTGGTCAAACTCAAACGAAAAAACATTGTTTTCAATTGTTATGAGTCTACCGATTGAATAGAATTTTATTATAAACAATTGTCTTGTAAATGGATTTTTTAAAGCATTCTGAATGTAAAAAATAAAAAAAAAAAGTGTGCAAGACAATGAGAAACACTACCTGCCCAAAAAAATGTGAAGTTTTGTTGAAATCGGTTGAAAAATGTAGAAATCCGATCCCATATATAAACGAACACACACACACACACACACACACAACCTGGGTTTTATAAGTATAACTCGATATGAGTTGTCCCCCTTTCATTCTGGCGACAGAATCTTGTTTTATCATGTTTTCAAATTGATTTTGTGCAAAAACAATTGTGTTTTTCCCATTTTTGGTGCTGTCAGAACAAACCGCAAGGTAATTTTACGCAGTCCTGTGAAGTTTTGTTGAAATCGGTTGAAAAATGTAGGAAATCCAATCCAATATATAAATGTACACACACACACACACACACACACACACACACACACAATCTGCATTTTATAATAAGTAAAATATATATAATGTATACTTGCATTAAAGCCATTTACATATTAAACTGTATCTATTTAGGTTGCAATCCATCATTTAAACATGTTTTATTCAATAGAATATTCAATATTTATTCAAGAAATGTGTGTTAAGCCTTTTAATGAGTTTTTTCCTAGTATTGAATATGTTGTTTGAAGTCAAGTGAAGACTTGTAAAGAGACTTGCTGAAACTGTGTGTCACGTTCTGAGGATTTTGCCTTTCAGAAAACTACCAGTAAAAAAAAGATGTCAAAAGACAACACTTCAGCCTCTCAGAAGAATGAAGCAAAAACAAAAGAAACTGCAGAAACCAGTTCAGGTTGGACTTTTTCCTTTTAATAATTTTGTTGATTTATTTACTGGCTTAGTACACATCAGAAATGATGGGATTATTTTACTTTATTTATTTAGTGTAATGTCTGTGCTCTTTGCCTAGGATCCTAGTGTTATTCTCTAGAACTTCACCAAGAATCAGTGTAGTATCTGTGCACCCTGCCTAACTTAGTATTTGTAAGTTAATTTTACTATGATGCTCAAGCAGCAGAATATTGAAACGAATATCACTTGCCTGCTTACCTCCAGGTGAGGTGTTCAAGTCAGGGCCCGATTCACTTATTAATTTTATATATCTGTTGGCTTTAGTGTCGCATAAGTTAACAAATGGTTTCAAATTCAGTCATCTTTCTCTTAGTGTGGTTGCCAGCCAAGGCTAGAGAACACAGTCTACTTTGTTCTTTAACCCATAGTTTGGACTAACATAGTACCCATCCAAATTGGCTTGATTATTTATGGATCAGCACCTCTGTCTTAGATGAAACTGATGTTGTCTCGCTCTCTACCTAGGATCAGTGTAGTATCTGTGCACTCTACCTAGGATCAGCAATACTGACATTTCTATAACAGGAATAAATATTTTTGCTGCATGGAAATAATCTATTTGGCCATAAATGACAGGAAAACTAATTTGGATGCTATTTCTGGCATACTTCTTAAATGAGAAGCTCTCAAAGTGGACAGAATCCTAAACCATTTTCAGATCCTTATAAAAATAAAAATATGTAAGACTCACCTATGGTGTTTATATTTTTGTAATTTACAGTAAATGTTAACTCTTGTCAAGTTTCAAATCTGTACATGCAATATCCTTGGAACTATGAATGTCAGAATTTCATTGAAATCCTTAATTAGCAAATCTCAAAAAATGCATTGAATTTTCAAGTTGCTCTGATTTTAATACTATTAAAGCTAAAGATCAAATATTTGGGATTTATCAATAAATTTGATCAAGAAACATAAAAGTTACATTATGTTTTATATATGGTCTGAAGTTTAAAGTTTCATCAAAACACAGAAGCACTCTTTTTTATTATAGTCCTTCCAGACATTTCTAATATGTACTTTATTCTTTTCATTTTTTTGTTCTCAGCCAGTATTTCCCTTCAAGTTGAAATGTCAAGTGAAGATGAAGACAATTGTGATGTTTATTACCAAGTTGGGATGGAAAATGATTTAATAATTAATGAAAATAATGATGATCAATTGGTTATGGATAATCTACAAGATTGAAGTACAACATAAAACCCCAAAGCAAATACTCACATCTTGATTTCTACAAGATTTAGGTAAGTTTATATTTATTCTTTGCTCTTTAATCCACCTGAGATTTTGTCAGGTAATATATTTTATTTAAACACTTTTTTCTTCTTTTTAGAGAAAGAGGGGTTGATGAGAAATTTATTTGATCTTTTTATGGTTGCAATGAATTGTTGAACTGTGGATTGCTATTATTTGAGACTAAAGTATCTCTAAGCTTTCAACATACACCAACACCTCTACCCTACAAATAGCATCACCTATTTTTCTGATGTTGTTTGATGAAAGGAACATGTCAAAATAAGGGTTATGCAAATTATTTTATATATTTACCATCACGTATGCTGTTTGATATCCCAGAAAAGTGACATCAGTTTCTGATTCGACAACAGTACATTTTTTATTCATAATTTAGGAATGTTTCCAGTAACTTTGAAATTTAATCTCAAAATTTAAAAAAATATGAGTTACATTAAAAAGAATCAAACAGTACACTCATGAATGTATTAGATTGAGTCAGAAATCTTCTTTTTGTGTGTGTGTGTGTGTGTGTGTGTGTGTGTGTTTTTTTCTATATCAACTTCATTGTTCTATATATTACAATTTGTTTGGTTTCCCCAAAACATAAATTACTTACGACTCAACTAAATAAGTATATCACTATTTATAAGACATACAGAGGTTTCTGGAAATAGCAGATCAGGCAAAATAATGCCAAAAAATGTCACTTGACTCTTCCATACAAAGGTTTCTGATAAACTGTTTTTGCCAAACTACAATAGCTTACTCCATGATACTATAATACTAAATGTAAATAGATAGGGGTTTTATACACAAATACATTAAACTGCATAAGGAGGTAGAAAGGGGTGTAATGGTGATGGAGCTTTTAGCCATGTGTATATCAGTGTACCTCCATTTGTAAAAAAGCTATTAAGCTTTCTGGGAATATCAAGGAATTATGCTATAAAATGAAGAAAAATATCTTTTGTAATGAATCCACCTTCAATCAGATGGAAGATTGTTTCTAACATGAATCTAATTACATTTGGCTCTGTTTTAATTGGATTAAATATATTTTAACTTTTTTTTTTTTTTTTTTTTATTACAGGTGGAACCTTTTTTATTTACTGTTCATTGCTGGAAGAAGGTGAAAGAAAATAATTCCATTGAACAGATTTTCAGAAGAGTCCAACATGAAAATGGCTACCTTCAAATATGTATTTCTTTTAAAACTCTTTTAAGTATTATTTTGCCAATATTTATTTTGTTTCAGAAATGTTTTTGAATAAATTTATTTTCTTAATGGAGTTGTTTTGTGATCTTGCAAAATAAACCTTATTCAATAGGCAGTTACAAAATTGAGCACTGTAGATTTTATCTATGTTTGCTTTTCTGAAGACTTTCTGATAACCGCACATACTGCAGTATATATACAGTGTAACCCAGATATAAGAGAGTTGTCGGGACCAGAGAAGAAGTCTCTTATATCCGGGTTTGGTCTATTTTGTTTAGGTAACACAGGCTCTAATTTGGGACCAGAGAAAATCTCTCTTATATTCGGGTTACACTGTAAATTTGAAACACGTATTCACACTCACAGCAGTATATATAAATTTGAGTTCTGTAAAATAAACAAATGTGCGATCAGTTTTTCTTTTATACTTTAATTAAATTCAATGATTTTGGGGTTTTTTTTTTTATCTATTGATCTTTTTCCCACCACCTAATCTTGGAAATATATTTAGTTTATGTTAACTAAAACTAAGTAAGAGATTGAAGTAGCTGTAAAGTCAGTGGATAGGTATAAAATGAAACTCATAGCTACATATACTAAGTTGAATAGAGACAAAAATTGAACCCTGATTATTATTTTATTTTTCCCACCTGAATTATTAAATTTGTTCATCTTTTATAAAATTTGGGTTATGTCTGTGTCCCCCACCTTACGTCAATAAAACAAAACAACCTGTATCATTCCACAATAAATTTACTATCAGCCTTTTATATATATTACTAACAAATAGTGTTTACAACATGAATGGTAATATTTAATTTGCATAAGTTTTTAATATTTCATCTGTTTACTTTTAATTCAGATTTTTTTAAAATTTCAATATACAGTACAAGGCAAAAAAATGTTTAAGTCAACATTCTTTGCCAGATTTTTCTAGTATTTCTTTAATTCACAAAAAAGCTCATCATCTGTGTTAACTTTCCTATTACGGGCTAGCTTGTTCATTATCGGCCAAAGGTTTTCAGTTGGGTTAAGGTCAGGACTCTGACTAGGCCACTGGAAGAGTTGCAATTTACTCTTGTCACACTTCCTCTCTAGATAACATTTATTCTTTAAGGCAGTATGCTTAGGATCATTATCGTGTTGAAACGTGAAATCCACATTTGATTAACAAGAATGTTGTGATATTGATGCTGGTCTATGATCCCTTTGATTTTGTACAAAGTATCAACTCCTGTTGAATGCACCCCAAACATTGATTTTTTTTCATCATGTTTAAACACGATGAAAAAAATCAATGTTTGGGGCGCATTCAGCAGGAGTTGATACTGGTAGTCACTGGAGTAGTTGTTTCACCGGGCATACATCAAACACATATTCATCCTTCATATCTAAGAGTGAAGGGGCCCTTGTCACTATATAATTTCTTCCCAATCAAATTTAGTCCAGTGTAAATGAGCTTTGCACCAAGCCAACCATGCCCGTCGATTTTTTTTTTTGCCAGATATAAAAGGTTTTTTTTTTATGCATTTGGAAACAATGCCTTTTGCTTTAAGTCTGCGTCTGACTGTTCTTGAAGAAACCGCCAGGTTAGCTGCTTTGGAAACATCTTCTGGTGTTGCAAATCAATCTTTTTTGCATCGACAAACCAAGTTTCTATCTTGCCTGTTGGTAGGTTTTAGCTGTCGGCCAGATCTGCTGTGTCTATTATATGTTCAAGTTTGATTTATGTGTGTGTCTATACTGTATATTTTTCTTTTTTTTCTTTTAAACATTTCACCCCAAGCAAGGTGGATGTGCCACTAGGGGCAGGGGGTGATTGAGGAAAGGATAAAAAGAATGATAAAAAGGAGAACAGGGATATGAATATAACATTTCAATCAATGTTTCTGCTGATTAAGTTCATTTCTTAATTCATTGTGTTTGCCTAGAAAGAATTTATATCTGTCGTATCAAGATTCAGTTGTCAGTTTGCAGAAAAAAATATCAGTATCTACATTTAAATAAAGCAAAAAGGTATTTTTTTTTTATTTATGAAGAAAATATATAGTATATAATTTTAAAAAAATGTTAACATTTTTAAAGAATTGTATAATTTTAGGCCCAGCAGTGTTAATTATGATTTTATTTCCTGTTGTGTTCATAGTAACCATTGTTGTAATTGGATATTTCACATTACAACAAATTAGAAAAAATTAAACCAAAAAAATTTATGGAATTATCTAAATAAGTCAAAATAAAGTTAGATTTTCTTAAAACTGCAAATTTATTTAAACAAGTGGAAAAAATTCTGAATTATTATTATTATTATTATTATTATCAAACCATATAATAATTATCAATGTGTATTTATTTATATATTTCCTGTCCTATCCATAATGGTAAGGGAGGTAAATCAATTTATGAGAGATTACTTCCCTTTTAATAATCTATAACAAATAAAATATTGATCTGCATTTAGACAAAATTAGTTGCCAAGCAAAATGAACTGTTTAATTAATCAGTTCCTTTACTCCTATATTTCTTACATTGCAGTGTTATTTGTTCAAGCCTTTCATGTGAGGCACTCATATACCTTTGTGATCATCTTGCTTCAACTTGTTCTTGAAATAGGCTTTGTCCTGTTGTTAATCTTTTTCTTCCAAGTGGTATTTCCATTTCATTATTATACTAAACATATAAAATTTTTAACATGGAAAGACATTGAACAAAAAGTGATTTATTTAATACCTGGGGTAATTAATGAATCATAGATGCTATTGTATTTATTTGCAAGTAAAAATTACTTTCAAAGAAATATATCACAGGGGTTTTATTAATGTTGCCACAAAAAATGCATAACACTGTATATTTTATCTAAATATGTGAATTATAGTATTCTAGATTCAACATATTTTTACCCTCCGAATATATAATTGAATAACTATTAAGAGATAAATTTAGTATTAATATTGTAGGTGTAATTACAAGTTCTCATTTGTTACTGGTAAATAATAAGGCTTTTTTAGATGGCAAGAACGATATACTAACAAACTATCATGGGAAATATTGTAGATTTTATTTCTCAGAAAGCCAAAATTTCTAAAAGAACTAGACGGCTGCCTAAAAACAACACTTATTATCTACAACTGAGTGATAGGCAATATTCTGATGAATGATTAATGACCACCACCATGGGTGCTGGCCATGGAATCAAAAGTGGAGAAAATTGGATAAGATTTAAAAATTCCAATTCAGACATACAGGATGTATGAAGAAATTTACATAAAAATAGTGTTTATTTTTTCTTCAAGTGTTATTTTCTTTCTTTGTGTCTTCATCCCGCTTGCACCAGCCCAATACGAAGATACCTGACAACGATTTGATCTTGGCCGACCTTATGATCAAAACCAATCACAATGTGGGATAAGGCAAGGCCTGGATCAAAGCAATCACCTATTCAATCAGCTGTGAGTATTGGATATTCAGACGACCAGGAAGGGGCTTGAGGTCAACACTCATATTATTTAAATACATTTTGCATTGGTATCCAAGGTTCAGCACAAACTTGTTCTGAAAATGTAGAATTATATTTAAATAATTGCCTACGTTTTACATTGTTTCATGCATTTAAGAAAAGAAAATGGAAAATTCCGTTTAAGAAAGGAGGGGATTAGAACGAGAGTGAACATGAAGGCAGTAATTATGCCTATCTTAGGATCAGATACATGTACGGAGGAAGGCTGATAGGCAAAGATATTAACAGGTACACCATGAAGCAATAAGAGCACAATCCAGGAGACACAAGAGAAACTGCGACAGAAGAATAGTGTAATAGAAAGAGAGCAGTGAAAAGAAGACAAAATGAAACCGTGGATAAAGTTAATGTAAAAAGAAGTGCTATGAGAAAATGTGTATCTGAAAGAATTCAAAATAAAACTGGAAGAATTTAACACAAGAAGAAAAAATATGCAAATGAAAAAATGTCTTCAATAAGAGACAGAAGAGCAACACTACAGAAGGAGGAATGAGAATACAGGTTCCATAAGAAATGCACAAAACAGAGTTCATCTATATCTATAATTCTCAAAATGTTTGTGTGTGATCAGATGTTGTTTATGCGTTTCTACAGTTTTCATCCGATTTTGATGAAAATTTTTTTTGTTTGATAGATTATTCTTCAGTGCTGGTTTTGAGTCCAAATTGGCTGGAAAAAATTACAATCTTGAAGGTGAAAAATAAAAAATTGATTTTTTACACTTTGCGCAAAAATCAAAGGCAAAATATAATGTCTGTAAAAAAGCAGCATAAAATCAATTTAGGGAGTTGAAATCTAATGCAAAAGATTATTGGAATTATAAAAAAAAATTATAAATAAAACTTATCGTATATTATTATGATGGTCCATGGAAGAGGTTCCTTCCTTCCAAGACTGAGAATGCAAAAACTGCCCTTTTCAGGGCCACTGCCAATTCAAATTGTTAACCCCACCATTTAGGGATGTGCCTCAGTTGCACCCAATTGTTGTTACTAATATTGATTTTCGTGTCGGCTGACTTTAAACTTAAACTGCTGAAATTGAACAGCAAAAATTCCCAGGTGGGTTATACTACTAGTAGAATAAATAATCTTCTGTTCACAGAAGCCAATTATCAACAACATAACTCTGGTGCATAAAAAATAAGTACCGTATTTTCCACCTTACAAGATGCTGTGGCTTGGAAGATGCATCCTAATACTGGAAAGGAATTTCTAAGAAAAATGTCATTCCTATACAATACTATCACCATGCGTCCTTCACATACTGGCGCCATGTATTGTTTACATTAATCACTCATCTGATTTTGTTTGTATGCCAATGACATACTAGTCAAGAGCAGAAAGGATCCCACTGCTGCTAGTAAACAGAGTATGTTTAAGCTTGTGGCTTGGCTCCAGGAAGGTGTAT